TGGCAGGAATTACAGGATCTTGCAGAAATGAGAAATGTCATCTTTCTGAAGCACATCTCGGAGTCTTTTTGTCAGCAGAGAGAAATATCTCCATTTGCTCGGAGGAACAGGACAGCACTAGTTGAAATCACATGAGTAAACTTGGTCTGTGTGATTTACCTCTAGTTTCTGGCCACCCTTGTCCCCCTTTCCTTCTTACTTTCTCCAATGAAAAGTTCACACAAGAGTGGGCTTCAGTGGAAGTCTGAGGAAGTTTGTGGAAGAATTTACAGTGGACCCTTCCAAAGATGGATATGCAACACAAACCATAACCAAGACTACCTTACTACATAAATGCCAATAAAGTTCTTTTACTTCTTCAAACAAACATCTACTCTAATCTAGCACATCAAGAGGATGCAAGTATGAAGCAGATTCTGAGAGACCTGTTAGTCCCAGGCAGTTGTGAACACATTTCCTGATTCAAAACTCAGAGCCATAAAAGTCAGCTGCTCCCTCAGAAATACTTAATCATCCTTGTATGTTTCTTTGAGTCTTTTTTATTACCTCTATTATCTAGTTTTGAGAAAAGCTACTTTGCATTTGTTTTGAATTCTCCAGTGTTTATATAACAGCCATACTGTACCTTAAATGTATCTTCGCTGTTGGGATTAAACAGCTGCTGTTTCCCAGATCCCAAAATAATTGGACCAGAAGCTTTGTTTTCTCCATAAGCATAAAGGAATACTGTTGCTGTTGTGCCAGCTGTTTCAAAATCCCCAGTGACTACTGTTATCTTCCAGTCTCCTTCTGTAAAGTAAAAAAAAAAAATTAATGCTTTTAAAAATGTTACTTATACGAAACAGTTTACTTGAAAGATGTAAAAGAAAGCATAGTTTGGCCCAAGGACTGTGACTATGCTGCACTTGAAAGGTAATGATGTCAGGAGAGGCAACAGAGGATTGGCCAAGTACTACATCATTCCACCTCATCTTAAGGTATGGACCAAGGATGGAGGAGGTTTACACTGCACAAAAGCCAGAAATATGAACACAGAGCTAAGTGAGATTTCTGAGGGTCAACACAGAAGCAGACCACCATCCAAATTTGGACTATGACTACAGTATAACCAAGAAATGCAACAGGAAAAATGCCGAAGCATCCCAATTAAGAACAATTTCCCCTCATTTTAGGGTGATGTGATAAATCAACAGAATTCCATTTGCCTGGATGGGGGCATGATACTGAAATCAGCATAAAAAAAAAAAGGTTTTGTAAAAAAGTCTGAACTAGATTAGGACTCATTAGAAAATCATTTTATATAAAGCTCCCTGACACTAAAATATCATCTCTGCTCCCATAAAATGTACACGTTATTTAAATATTCAAAAGCAGCTTAATATAATTCTTTTTTTAAAAAAAGAACAATTCATAATTGTAAAATGCATTTCTACATCTGAAAAGATGGGATTGCATACTTCTCCACCCCTCATTGATTGCAGCTTTTGTCTGTGTGAAACAAGTTCCACACAGCGACTTAAATTCATTCTGTTCAAGGCAAACAATAAATGAAATACCAGCATCCAGTCATCTTATGAATAAATGCCATAGCATACACTGCAGTTCTCTTAGTAGAAGCTGTCTGGTAATGCCTGCATGATTTAAATCTGTAGTCTGACAGAGGTATTTATCTTGGGCCAGCCTCATTATCTCTCAGTAATCTGCCCCACAAAAATTGAACTGGAGCAGGAAGTTTGATTTCCTGTTTTCCAAGTCTTTAGAGGTCTGGCTGATGTCTGGTTTGGGAAGGTGTTAGAATTTTAAATACACATAAATACACAGCTGGGAATTCAGAAAGCAGCAATAGCTCATTTGTTCTGTCCAATGAAACCTGGCCCACAGACTGAGGGAAGGAATTGTCCCCTGTACTCTGCTCTGATGAGACCCCACCTGCAGTACTACATCCAGCTCTGGGTTCCCCAACAAAATAAGGATGTGGACCTGTTGAAACAGGCACAGAGAAGGGCCATGAAAATCGTTAGGGGCTGGAGCTCCTCTCCTGTCACAAAAGGTTGTTGTTCAGCTTGGAGCAGAGAAGGTTCTGGACAGGTAGACCTTATTGACAGCTTCTCAACATATTAAGGGACTTGAAAGAAAATCAAAGAATTTTTACAAGGACATGTAGTGATAAGTCAAGGGGGAATGGTTTTAAAGTGAAATAGAGTAGATTTAGAAAAGACATGAAGAATATATATTTTTTTAATAAGGATTGTAAGACACTGGAACAGGTTGCCCAAAGAAGTTGTGGATGTCTCATCTCTGAAAGTGTTTGAAGCCAGGCTGGATGGGGCTTTGAGAAAGCTGGTCTAGTGGAAGATGTCCCTATCCACGTCAGGGGCTGTACTAGTTATCTTTAAAGACTTCTTCCAACTCAAATTATTCTACAATTCCATAAAGGAACTGAAGCATCCAATTTTCACTAAGAATCGTCAGATTCCAGCTTGTAAGAAACTATTTTGTCCCTTTGAAAATCCTCATCTTCACAGCTTTCTCTATAGACTCACTTTCTTGATAAAAAAAAAAAAAAAAAAAACATAGCACCAGAAAACAAAAGGATAAATACCAATTAGAAGAGTGAAAAGCCTCTATACACTGATGGTGCAAAGAGCATAAGGCAAGGGCTCCCTATCCCATAGAAAAAGAACTTGTTTGAGAAAAATTCAGCCTTTTTCATTTACAAACAATATAATGCTAATTTCTTAAAGACAAAGTTCCTTTGAACCATTTGACTGGAAAATAAGGACAATTCCATTTACACAGGTTTATGAAGAATGGTACAGACAAGGGGTAAAATATGACCCACTACTCCTCCCAAAGTGTCAAACATCATTCAGAAACAAATATTCACTTTAAAGGAGATAAAATGTATTTCCTTTGACATGTTCAGTGATTAACTGTGCCTCAAATGGTTGTGATGGCCCTTTCTATTGTATTATTCTCACAAAGTCTGTCTTTTGTTAAGCAAGGGAGTTCTGAAATATTGCAGTTGTTATTACTGAGGCTGTATTTTCTAGCTAATTCAGCTCCAACCTCCCAAGTTTAGTATCTATAAACTATTTTGCACACAACTGCCCCTCTGAAGGAAAGGTAGGGGATCAAACTTCCCCATAAACACAATTTAAAAGAGTTTTGGTTTGAACTCCTCTATACTGACTTTGAGGCTTGTTCCTTTTTTTCTGGAAGTAGAAAGGACTTGTGTTGGAAAGACCATGGGGGTACAGGAAAAGAGTCCTTAAATTTATAATCTCTCTGATGCCAGAAGTCCTCATTGCAATGCATTGCATGCTTCCAAACAGAAAAGGGAAACAGTATTACAAAAGTATTACAAAAACATAATTCTTGTTGGCATAAGAAGCTGGGTTGTTCTGATGAGGTAGAGTACCAATAGTTCCTTCATGACTGAAGAGGAGCACACTTTGAGGGGAAAAGAATACAGATAAAGGTGTTATGACATCACTGCCATTTAGCATACACAGAGGAAAGGTGAAACCTATCACCTGGGGTTCTAGGGACAGCAGAAAGTGGTAAGTTGTCACAGATGACTGTCTAGATGTGTATTTTGTTTTGGGGTTTTTTTTCAATTTTCTATATTATTAGAAACAGGGCAATACACTAGAAAGTTCTACTTCCTAGGAAAATAATTGTGGTGTTTTCAAGAAGCGATACAGGAAGAAAATGGGGGAAAAAAGGTAAGTGAACAAACTCTCAGATCGACCACTAAGCCAGGAATTGGAGCAGCCCATCTAGGTATAGGATACAGAATTTCAAGTCTCTTTCCCACTGATCCGTGTTTTACCAAGTGTCCCAAACAAGAGGTTATTTGTTTCACACACTTTTGGCTGACTTGCTCTGATTGAGACTTTTGCACAGCTTAAATGACACAGACCCAGCTGTAGGTGCAGAATTTGAATTATGGAAGGGAAGATCTCTCAGGACAGGCCATGCAAAAGTGAGGTGTGTGGAACAGGTAAAGCACAAAGAGTGATGAACAAAGAGCAAATTACTGCCTGCTGGAAAAAGCACAGAAAGCAGGAAGGACAAAAATACTTGTGACTCAAAAGAAAGTCTATAACAGGGTAGGATTTTAATGTATTTTCTAAAATAACTGGGCAAAAATTTTATCATTACCACTTGCCATAGGAGCAAAGTTTAGAACAAGATATTTGGGTCTTCATGAATATTTTGATTGATATAACAAATTTTGAATAAACATTTTCCAACCTTCTCACAACTCCTCTAGATCCTTGTTCATCCTGCAGCATAACTGAGAAATTCTAATGTATTATTAAGAAATTAAATTTAATCTGCTCTGGCTGTCAGGACAGAGAAGTCAACCTGAACAAATATGAAATCACAAGTAAAATAGTAAATGAAAAACTATATTTCAAGAGAAAAAAATCATGTTTTAAAATGTTAACTATTAAAAAACTGAAATTAAGATAGATCATCAGTAAGTACTAGAAGAATAAGAATTTTTCAAAGAAGCAGAAGGAAAAATAACATTATGGAAAGAAAAATGACAGAATAAAAATAAATTATAAGCAAAGTTATTTATTAAATTAAAATGTGAAGTTCAGAGTTTACTGAAATGTTCAAATAGTGTGCTATAATTAATGTTTTAAAATAAATAAAAATGGCAACAAATGTGTAAAGCAATTAGTTTTGAAACAGAAACAGTCTTCATTAAAATCAGAAAACAAGAACAGTATTTACCACTTGCTTCTTGCATTTTCAGCTGCTGATTTTTTTTAAAGTCTGCAAAAAAAAAAAATCCATTAATAAAGGACCTTTCCTTTAATACTACAGAAAAGATTTGAAAGAAGAGATCAAAAAGACATTCAGTTTTTCCAGCCAATGCAAGAAGACTCTTTCTCATTTGTTCCCTCATTACTTTCTCATTATCACCTAAACCAATTATATAAATCATATTCTCTCAGAAATATAGCAAGCTGCAAAATCAGTTAACTCTGATATTTATGGTGTAAAATCTGTCCAGATTTTTTCAGAGGTAAAGGATTACTAATTATTGCTCTTACTTCCATAAAGTAAAAATAAATATTACCTTGAGGGTACAGCTCAATTTCTGAATGGATTTTACCTTGAGACATAAATGGAAGCCACCTAAGAATAATAAAGAAAATAAGAAAGAAGGTAGGAATCAATTTTTATTTACATTACCATATAACAATTGCCCATATCCAGTTTTCATACTGTGTACACCTAACAGCAAAGGGTCTCTACTCCTAAAATTTTAGTATTACAGTAGAAATTATTTGACTCAACAAAGAAACTTGTTTTGTGCAAAAGTAAGGGCTGTGTAGGCAAAAAATAGACTTGTATCAGATTAAGAGACTCATATGGCATTACTTTACTTGTTCCTATAGCTAAACAGAATATAGCACAGGACATTTTTTTTTTTTCAAGACTATGGATTGAGAGCTAAGTATAGTTTGTATGTATTTATTGCCGTATTTCTTAAAACTACAGTTCAGTGTTAAAACAAAGATGCAACCAAACACTTCTCTTTCTTATTCCTCCTACAAACAGAGGACAGGTAAATGAGTCTCAAAAAAGGACAAATGAAGGAAAACTTTGTTTAGGTTTCCCAGTCATGTTACCCTAGGCTATGTATAATTTTGAAAATTTTCCTTGAGAACATGGATTACCAACAGCTTGTATTTCCTCTTGCTTGGTAAAAAAATCAGCTCTTTTTTTAACAGAAAAGGAATACAGCAATCTTCTGGGCTGTAGTTTTTTATTTTCTCAGTCCACTTCCATGGACTCTCCAGGAATGACCTAAATGACTCAGTCTCCTATGAAGCCTATTGGGATTCCAGTACAAGCTGGGCAAGAAAAGTCCAGAGCAACTTACAAAGTTTCCAATTTTTTGTCCTGAAAACAGTACTTGACCAATTCATCTAAGAGCTACTCCTTAAGAAATAAATTTTCTCTTACTAAACTATTTATTTCTATTACTTCTGCTAAAAACTGATGGCACAGATATCTTCTGAAATCCCAGATGCTAAAAGGTATCAGTAACTAGTAAATACTGTATAATTGAAATCGAGCAGAAGGTGTTAGATGTTCAGAAACTAATATCAGGTTTTAAGACAAATAAAATGCTTATGTTCCTTTGGTTAAATGAGAACAAAAGACAGAACTTTTTTCATGTCCTGGATCAGAAAATAGCTCTGTAAAATAAAACAAACTTGAGGCTGAAGATTACTGAATTAGATTTCTGAAGAGCAAAAACCTTCTCCCTCCTTGAATAGAGCACAAGTACATTTTGGCAAACATAGAAGTTACACCTGATCCCTACCACTGACTTATTTTAATCCCTTTTCAGTGGAAGGGTTTCCTTCTAGAGAAGTTAGACATTAAAAAAGAAACACTTGTTCCTTTTTTGCACTCTCTATCATAGAATAATAAACATCTGGTGTTTATTATCACAGAATTAACACAGCAAAGTGCCCTACCATTTATCATTCCTAAGCCATATTGCTCACTAGAAATAGCTATGACACAAAGAAAATTTCACCTACATTTTTTTTAGAAAGGTAGCAGCTCCAGCTAGCAACAACAGCTGGTCTGCATCCAAATCTGCTCAGAGAAATCCTCAGTCTTATACTACTATTTATAAGCATCTTACTGGTTGAAGAAAAATCTCAGCTTTAGAGCGTTAATCAAGGTGAGAAAACATCTTTATTCCTGTTTTGGAGGATGTGACACCAAGAATTGCAAGAAACTGTTCAAGGTTATGTGACATATTCATTAAAATCCAGACAAAATAACTAAGCAATGTGCATTTATTAAATATTTTTAATTAAATGTTATTTATTCTGGTGCCTTGTCACATAGGCATATTGTTCCTCTTCACTTTCTTTATTTCACTCGAGTCATGCATTTTCCCATGAGAGAAACTGTAAACTGGAAACTCCAAAAGTGGGAGTACCATATTTTTCTAAAACGCAAAATGAAGTATTTATCAATTGACTTTTAAGATGCACATTTAATAACTGAAATGGAACATCTACAAAATAATTCCAGGCATCTTATTTGTCTCTCTGGCCATGCTGTAAAGAGAGTGAATGCTAGTCTTGAATGGAAAACCTTGTTTCTTTCCCATTTAGAAAGACACTTAATTTAGAACATTTCAGATGCTTTATCTTTCCTTCCTGAAAGGTAAAATCACACTTACAGCACTGATCCTGTAAGATAAGCCTGTACTCTTAATTCTAGTAACACAGACTCAATATAAGTGTTTAACCTTTGCTGCAGATCATACAGAACATTAATTCAAGCAATCTGTTCTGCAATAACACATTTTGTAGATTTTATGAAACTGTGAAATAATCAAAAAATGTCTTTGCCTGAAAAACTCACATTTAGTACATCAATTGACACAATACTTGTAGCAATCCATATTGAAGAATATTTAAACATATTGCTGTAAAAACTACCTTTCACAATTGAAAACATATTTTGAGTTGCTCCCAGCTTCTCTGACGGTGACTTTATCACAGTACCAGCGCTGGCACTGGGTGCCGGCCTCGCAGCGCAACAGCACCTTCTGCAGCTTCCCGAGGGATACAGCCTCCACTACAAATCCACGGACCTGCGAGACACAGGAGACAGCACTCTGCAGTTTGCCACCAATGAGGCACTCCAAAAGCTGGTGTGCTAAAAGCCTGATCAATTCCCACAATCTACAAAAATTTCAGCTTGTTTTAATGACAGCTCGACCGTATTCAAAGAGTTTGGATCTGAGGAGTTAAAAGTCTTTTGATGAAGGGTCACAGTAAACAAGAAAGCACAGCCAAACCCAGAATGCAGTAATAATCCCCCAAAATATTGGGCTTTTACAGCCATCATCCAAAATGCTGAACACAATCCTTTAGTATTGTTTCAATGCCTTGGCATTCACGTTACTCTTCTCTAGGTACGAAACACTCAAAGCTATTATTTCTTTTGTTGATATTACTTTAAATCAGACCTTCACATCATTTTCTCCTTTTGGCTTCACCTCCTCTACTTACATTTTATTCTACTGAAATAAACTGAAATCTGACATGCCATTTTCCCCTTGTTATTCATTTAGGCTTGTGCTTATAGTTGGAAAAGATTGTCTTCATAGAAGCATGAAGCTGATCAGGTTCAGGTTGATAATTTTCTGTCCCAGGAAAAAGCACACAGCTTTCTGTCTCTTAATATAATGGTCCAAATCATTCTTCTCAGTACAAAGAAAATAAAGGAAAGAAATGCACTGGAAAATTCGTATCTGTAAAGTTCTCAGTACTCAGCAAATGGCAGAACTGAGACTGCCTGTGCAAGATTGCTTATCCCTTGTGTATAGATAATATATGATCACAAGCTAGTCTCTCTGAAAGATTCCTGCCTCAAAGTGTGCTCAGGAGGATGACAGATTTTTCAGTATCTCCTTTTGTCTTCATTATCTTTATGTCTCTATGCATTATTTACTGCAACCACCCAAAGACCTCAGTGAAACAGAAACTGATTTCCCCAGTGACTTCACCTTTGCACTTCTCCCATAGCACCCTGGTTTTCTGCAACTGCTTAATCTCTTTTTTAAAAGGCCATCTGCATATTTTTTCAATTTACCTACCTAGTTAAAGCCCAGAGTTTGCTGCCAAAAGCTGTCAAATATGCAGAGTGGTGTGGGTGCTCAACTGAGAAACAGAGGGGTTAATTTACTGAAATATTTAGCATTTCAAAGAGCTTACTAGGTGTGCAGAGCAGAATTCTATTTGAACTCAGTTACAGCTATGGTTGTTCAGAGAAGTTAAACTGGTTATGCAGCAATACCTAAGCATGAAAAATGTGGTCACTCAGGAAGGTTTTATTTCAAGAAATTTGCCCAATATAATGCAGAATATCTGTGGCAGGGATGAAATCAAGTTGTTCAAGTCAGCATTCTACTATCTCTGCCAAAAATGATATATCCCAGTCCCTGCTCTGCTGCTCCAAACAATCCACTGTCTTACTCACCCATTTCCATAACAAAGTGCCCTTTGAACCAGTCCCCTCAGCCCCTGTGTAAATAATAGGCTGAACTGACTATAAGTCTGGCTTGAATAATGCCCCCCAGAAAATTCCACCTAAATTCTGCATTTTAATTTGAATTGAACTTTATCTCTCATACATTACTAACAGCATAAAATATCTATTTTAAAATAGTATAGGTACATTTAAAGTTTCCCAGTGGTTTATGGCTGTTTTTGGCACTTTAGGTACTGCTTTTCATTTGGTAATTAAGTGTTCCACTAACAGCTTGATACCACTGGTTATACATACAAGTTTTAATCCTCAATAGATCACAAAGGAAGAAACAGGCTCAATAGAAGGTCACAAGAAGGCTAGTGGCAGAATTAACATTAAATTCAGTAGTTGCTGAAATTTAACCATACTGCAGAAAATCAGGATGATGTATATTTTACCTTTGAAAGAGCTAGGAGGTAATAAATTGAAAGATAAATTACTTTAAGTTTGTCTTGTATTAATCACAATACTTTACTATTATACATTAAAGGAAATACATAACAGACCTACTAAGATCTGAAATCATGGGACAATTTCTGTACACTCCTTTGGAACCATCTGTAACTCATCATATTTTGAAAGGATATGTTTTAAATTCATAGGCAGCTCTTCTCAGCATCTCAGGGTGAGGCCCTTAAAAAATTTTTCTTTCCCTTTTCCTTACTATGTTTTCACTCATCCTATTAAATTTGGGGTCAGTAGAAAAATATTTTCCTTAGTTCTTAAAAGTTATTTAGCTAAACTTACATGGTTTGCTGTATTACTATTATTAGGAACCTGTATAACTTGTATACAATTACTTAACTATATTCACAAGGGTAGGCAAATTTTTTTTTGGACTTACCATTCCTCTCTGAAATGGCACTGGTGCACCAGTTTTATGCAGAAGTCTTAGACCAGAATCTCCTCTTTTTCCATAGATACACAAATAAACTGCACAGTCGGTATCAGCTTGCTCCAAGTCACCAGTGTGGACATAAACACGGTATAAAACAACTTCCAGAAATAACCAAAAGAAGAAAATTCAAGTTATATGTAATCACAACTAATTTTAGCTTAATGCTAGCAATGACAGTATGTCTCATCTGCAATTAGGTTTCTGGAAGATATTCTCCAGAAATCAGTCAGACTATTTGCTTTTAAGATTGCTAGGACCACTATTTGGTTGGCATTAACACTGAAAAAGAGGTAGCCAATATATAAATAACTGTATGCACACATACTTGGATAGATTGGTTTTCCAGCTTCCACTACTGGAAGTTCACACAGAAGTTCTCTATTATCACGATTCTTTGATAGCCATATGTTTGCTGGAAAATTCAGTGTTTTCTTGCTCCTTAGATGTTGCAGGATCACCTGAAGAAGAAGGAATTCCAAATATAACTCTGTTACAGTGCTTTGTTTCTCAACAGCAAAAGATAATTTTGTATACATTTTTTTTCTATCTCAGAAAAAAGCAACACAATCAGTAAATATGGCATAAAAAATTGCAGTATGAAAATACTTTTGTTTTGGCCACTAGAATGCAACAAACAAATCTGTAGTTGTAATTTGTGGGTTTGCCATTTGCAGTGTCCCCAGGTCTGGTTTCAGTGAGTAAACCAGCTCTATGTAACACTGCCTGGAGGACTGAAGACTGAAAACCTTCTGGTAGCTGCTGTTGCATCACACTGACCTTTTGGAAGATGTAGAAAGATGGACATAGATTTTTTTATTTTAGAATGAAAACAGGATGAAACTCATCAACTGCATCCTTCTGAACTTTGACAAGTAGAGGACACATTGGATTATTAAATCCATTTGTGTTATCTTTGGCTCTTCTACAGCAAAACAAAAAATAACCTGGGTTCCATCACCATCTGTATATTCTTAAGATTATTAGAATTCAAATTTCTAGAGTTATTTGCTGCTGTACAGTAAGATAGCGGCCTTACTTGTTTCCTATAATTCCAGAACTCTTTATAATCTTTTATGAAAGTAGTTTTCTTGGTCTTGAATTACAATACTTACTACAGGGGTTTTCCAGAGGTCTTGACTAGCAAAAGAAAATCAAAAATTGTCTTTCTGCAGTTGTGTTTCTGAGTGTGAATATAATATGCATAAGCCTTGCAAACAAAATTATGAAAGCAAGTACTCACATCCAAATTCTAACACTTAGAAAATCAGAGCAATACATGTTTTTATCTCACTTTTCCAATAAAATATTATTTAAAGTAAAATGAACACTGCTTTCAACACCAAAGCATGTATTTATTCTACTGTGAAATACTTTGGCAGCACTGATTCCTAATCTCTAATATTTACTGGCAGTGCCCTCCTGCTGATTCATAACAATTGCATATATTAACTCATTTTTCAGAAAAACACAGCTTTCAACATGATTTATTTCTTGTTCTGAAATGAAGTTTTTGAAATCCCTGGCTTACCCTATGAAATTTGGAGCAAAATATTGAAGATATTTTTAGTAACTAGCAGGCTGGAAAGTGGAATATTTATGCTCACATTCTGTTTTATACAGTCTCAGTTAAGACCTTTGGGTTAATGTAAAAATCTTCTATTATTGCCTAATTCTGTTTGTCTAAATCAAGCTTTTTAAGATTATTCTTTTTTATTTGAATAAACTTGTTTCCTTTACAAATTCAACACAAGAAACAGACAAAAAATTCTTATCCCAGTTCTAAAATATATTTTACATGAGTGTCAGCCTTAGGAAGCATTTAGAACAAATTTTGTCTGGTGAACATCCCTAAATATCAAGAGTAAAATAGAAATAAAACAAAATAAAGAAGAATTTGTTAAAAAAAAAAAAAAAACCAAGAGCTTTTTTTCCCCTGAAAATATTCATAATTATAAGAAATGGGGGGGCCTGTTATAACTTAGTTTGTTTACCTTTTAGCAAACTTTTTTCATTTCTAGCAAGTTGTTGTCATGGAATGATTGATACTCCATCATTTTCAATTTTTCAGAGCCAGAATTTAAAGCTAGAATCTCCCTAACACACTGAAGAGTACAGAAACACTAAAGAGTATGGCAAATTTTCATTAAGCAGAATTTGGTCAAACACATCAATACAATAAAATTGCTGTCTGCAGGAATTAGGAATAATTGCAAAATAATCCTGTATATTTCTCTCCCTTAGGAGGTGAACTGCATCAAAGTTTTTGTCATCTCTAGAGCAATCTAAGAACACAATTCAGTGACAATTTATCCCAATCAGCATTTATTGTTTCATAAACCTATGTCTTTGTGAAAAGATGGGCCCTTATTTACATAAATTTAATAAAATGGAAACAAAATCACTGTAAAAGTCTCACCCTCTGTAAGTTCCACTCAGGTTGTTCATCTGGTAATCCATCAAGTTCAATTCTTATTTTATAGATATTCCCAATGCTGTTTATTTTAACCTGAATAAAGTCAGAACAGTCAATATAAAACTATATAGAATTACATCTTTATCTTTGCAATTGATTCTAGATTTATCTGAACCATTGGAGTATCTGAGTGCTCAGGAACAATGCACAATATTTGATTGGCAGGTTTGAGGTTATAGGATTCAGAAAACACGTTTCTTCTGTTTTGACTAACAGATTACTGTGTGAGCTCCAGTTTGACCAGATCACAGCCTAATGGAATCACAATGCTTGCCAGAAAAATGATTTGGCAGGTATTTGAACTATTCAAAGTTTCAATAGTAAAAAAAGTTGGTGAGGGTTTTCATGAGAGAAATGAGCAATACAAAATTACATCCTACAAAAAAAATTGCATCCTCTGACTACAAGTCACAAAACTTTCATAATTCTCCACAGACAACCATAAACCCTAATATGTCAACATGAAGGATACAAAATTTTGGAGACCTCAAAAAATAATTCCCAAGGGTTGGCAGAATTTCTGCAAAACTTCAGAAGTCACTGATGCTATATTTGTTTTCTAACAATGATTTGCATTCATTTGCCCTTTCAAGCATTAAGTGTGTTCTTACTTATAAAAACTATTCTCTGCAACCCTATATTCAAAACTTTAAATGAACCCTCACTTATCTAGGGTTCATTTGAAGTTTAATCACTATTTAAAGCAAGTATAAATAATTTTAGATAATTTATAATGTACCTTTAGGAAAGGAAGAGCATGTTATTATGCTATTTCTCAAATAATTCTATTCATAAAAGATTGGTAAAAGCCTATTTCTTTCCACAATTTACATTAAAAAAGCTATTTGCATTGGACAAAAATTGCCTTCATTGTCTTAAAAACATAAGGATATTATCCACTCATTCTATAATTTCATTTTTAAAAAGCACTCTTCTCATTTTAGAGTTTAGAATTACCTCTTCTCCTGTATCAGCTTTTGGCTCTTTGTGCTTTTATGTAAGAAAATTTTATGTTATAGTCACAGCATTGTCATGCTTTAATCAAAGATTTCTAAAAGAAAAAACTGCTACTCTGGATTTCCTGAACATTAAATACACATTGAAATTTCCTAATGGTTGTTTGAGACAGAATCTGTGGGTTTCACACTGTAATTTGTATTGATATACTTGTTACATCAACCTGAATTCCATTAACCAAGTAAATGTGAACATCAGGATTGAAACACTGATGTGACAATAGTTTCCTTCTTTTCCATTGGCTAAAGAAAATAGCTTTGCTTTGCTCTGCCAAGTCATATCCTTGCTTATGCTGCATAATATTCCCCTTCAAAAGTAGTCTTATTGGAGTAACCTGGAGACTTTGAGATTAAAGCAGCAGTAAATTGGGCATATATTCAGCTTGAATGCAAAAACCCCCCCACACATGTATTGTCTTTCCCCCATTTCACAAACTGACCTACTTCTCAAGTAATATGGGATATTGTCTTCTTATTCACAGAGCTGGTGCTCACTGCAAATACAAGGCTGTCATGTCATTTGTTTATTCTAATAAATCCCTCTTCAGACTTTTAGTAAATAAAGAAAAAAGGTTGCACATAATTTCATGTATCAACACAACACAAAACAAAATGTAGTAGGCTAAGTCAGAATGCAAGAGTGCTTTCTTCCTAAAACAAGTACAGGTCTTCCAGAAGTAACACTCTGGTAGTCTTGATTTTTTTAATGCACTGTTTTAGGAATGATTAAGCAGGCAAAGAAAACTCACATGGGTAAGGTAAAATGAGAAAGAGAAGACCACATATTGAATGGTTTTCAATTCTTAGGTTAGTTCTTCTCAAACTTTTCATAGTTGTACATGTTGCTGATAAATGCAAGGTTAAAGAACTTCAAACTGATTCCTAATTGCTGGATTATTTTAGCCTTTCAGAAGCTGCTTTCTTCCTAGAACTCCCGGTCAGAGCTATGATCAAGTTGATTACATTAAAAATAAAATTTGGTATCATCTGTTCTAGAATAGATCAGTAAAAACATAGAAGTTCAAAGGCAGAAGTGGTAAGAAGAAGATGTAACTTTTTTGTGTCTTACACTCCTCTCTTCATTTCAAGACCTGTTCTGTTAAACAAGTACAGGATAAAGTTTAAGGGGAAAACGAGAAGAAATAGCTCTTACTCAGAGGCTTTTTCTTTGTGGATTTATCCACTGCAGACTAAAGAGTGAAAAGCACTTCAGTGACATTTGCTGTTTCATGTCTGAAAGCTATAGTGTCAATGTGATGTAAAAAAACCCTAGGAGTAGCCCCAGGTGCTGAGAGAAAGATCCTGCTCTCTCACAAGATCAATATCTGCAGCACACAGTCATAATGGGCCACATCCACTTTAAAGAAGAAAAATTGATCCATCTCTTTTGAACATAAGGATTAACTTTGCAAACATGCCATTATCCCACATTGCTTATAAATTATTTACTAATTAGGAGAGCAGGATTCCCTGTGGATCATAATCTACAGCCTATATGCTTAGAAAATGAACATTATGGTAGGTTGTCTCCCTGCCTATGCCCTATTCATAGAGAGAATTATTATTATTATTATTATTATTATTATTATTATTATTATTATTATTATTATTATTATTATTATTATTATTATTATTGTTGTTGTTGTTGTTGTTGTTGTTTTTGTTGTTGTTGTTGTTATTATTATTATCATTATCATTATCATTGACAGTAGCAATCTTGGATTATATGAAGATTATATTACAAGAGTTGATGAGTCCAGAAAAAAAAACCATGAAATATGTAACTTCAGCTTTAGCTGCTGAAAACAGCAATGTCACATGCATGTCAGGCAGAGATTTAAGCAAAACAGAAATTTTAGCTCCTTTGGTAATTTCCTCTCAGCCTACCTAGACATAATTTCCTTATTAAAATAGAGGTGGGCTTATCCTTAAATAAAAGCAGAAACCCTGTGTTTTGACAGCATGGTAATATAGAGATTTCATTGGACTTTTAGTTATTCCACAGGTAAACTTTTCTGGCATTTTAATCACTTATAGCATGGCAGCTCTAAAATGGGTTTTCTTCTTTAATTGAACAAGTTCCACAGCAAACATTTTATAGTATGCTTTGAAAACTATATGCCTGAAAATTTAATTACTAAAGATCCCTAAACAATATTCAAGTCTTATATCAGGCGTGGTTTTTTTCAAAATGAATAGTTTTTAAAGCTAGTTTCAAATCAATTGCCTTAAAGAAATCACTTTACTTCTCAGTTGTCCCATTTGATCTTCTATATGTGGGAGGGGGTTTAAGAGAAAAATAATTTCTGTTGTTTATTATATGTAACAAACTGATTTCACACAGAATTCATGGAGATTAAATACAGATTTATTTTATGGAGTAAATATAGGAGCAAAACAGGTTTTGTTTTCTATGACAGGATAATCCTTGGAAAGGTACCTATTAAATAATGTTCTTAGCCTTCATTAGCTACCTGAAATTCATCTTCCTGCCTGGGAAAAAACAGCTGCTTCCCGTTGTCCTTGCCAAGAGTTATGGGTCCAGTTAATCCTCTGTCTCCATATATCCAAAGAGCAACACTTGCTTCTGTTCCTGCATTTCCTGTCAGTACTGACACTTTCCATTCATCATCCAAAGGAAGGGGACTCTCACCACCTTGGGGATTTCTCATTTCCTCTGTGAAATACAGAATGTTAGTGGGAGATGAAAATTGACATGGAACTGCCAGTTGCTGTTGTAACTTCAGCACATAAGGAGGCCATAACAGCAGGGGGATTGTATTTTTTTCATGGCAAGTGAGATAGCCTGAAAAGATTGATTTATGTTTCTTGTCTAGACCAAAATGTACTGATTAGTTGAGCTACAAGAATCAGCTGGAAAAGAACAAGTTATCTCTCACATATGCCATCATCATGCTCTTTATACATATTCTGGAGCAGAGCAAGGATGCTATGGTGCAGAACTGTGACCATTAAATTGATATTTCTGGTTTCTTAGTCTGATATTTACAAACAAGTAGAATTTCTCCTCTAGTGCCTTGTGTTGGGACATCATTAGCAGAGTCACATTTCTGACAATATAAACATTTTTCATTTCAAATTAAAAAAAAAATCAGGAAATTAGCTTTCTTTAAGGTAAATATCAACTAAATACTGTAAAAAAAATCAAAAAATACCTCAATATAGCCTTGCTTAACCATATTTGGATTAAGGCATTCTCTGCATGGATGAGACAATAGCAGCATAGTAGCACTTTATGAATAAATTTCACAGCTCTAATGGCTAAGCAAATACAATTTTGTAAAATATAGCCTTCACTAGAACAACACCTAGTGATCTTCCATCTACCCTTAAGAGAAACACACATTCATGCAGAGACATCAAAAGACACCTCTGCATAGGAGATATGGAAAAACCAGACTCCATTAAGGGCAAGGAATTTAGTTTTGAGTAATTTAATCAAAGTGGAATTTACAAACATCAGATGTCTGGAACACTGATTTTTAATAATGGGACCACTGACCTTGGAGCCCTCTCCAAAAAGAAGGAATCCTTGCTGCCAGGAACTTATAGAGTGGTCTGACACAAGGGGCAGTTATAAGCCCCACATTTGAAAAGTTGAACCTACACATTGCCAATATACTGTGTCCTCCAGGGGCTTCCAAATTGCCCACATGAGCACTTTCCGTGTGACTGCAAAAAGAATTTTTAATATGCCACCAATATGAATTTGTTAAAGAATTCCCAATGCATCACTGGGGATGTTTCTGCTGCATTGCATAAGTTATGTCATGATGTTAGAGTCCTTTCCTTTTTTGTTTGCTCAATTAAAACACTGCACTGGGTTTCTCTGGATGGAGATTTTCCCTTCACTTATTTCACCACCCTTACATCAAAGGGAAAAAAACAAACACCCAACCAGACAAAATCAGAATTGATGCAAAAGCTATCACTCACCACCAGCAGCCCTTTTTTCTTAGAAGTTTTACTCAAAAGGAATTATACAGTTGGTTGGATCATCAGAATGTCCTATATTTAATTCAACATGTTAACCAAAGTACCAAAACTGAATTATGATCCACTAGCATTAATATCTTAACTGATGTGAAATATTTGCACAAGGAAATGCTAAGGAATTAGGATCTATACAAAGTTTTGCAATAAATAAGGACTGACTTCTGGAATCACAGGAAATTTAGCACTGGAAAATATTATAATATTTGGTTAATCAATTTTTAAGAAATTCAGAACTGTAATATCATTACTTTTACAGCACTGCCTCTAACAGTAGAATTATGACTTTGGAATAGCCATAGTAATTTAGAGTAGGCATTGCTGGCTGGTTTTATTGATTCTTCATCATGACTGAGAGCAAGTTATTCTGACAGAAAAAAGAAAATTAACACCCCAAAAATAAAGCAAGAGGCAAACATCTAGAGTTTACCTGAATAATAACTTAATTACACTTGTCTTTCAGTGCCTGAAAGAACAGAACAATAGCAAATTGCTTTGGTGTGATAAATATTTCTAAGAACTTGACTGAGATTTTCTGTAACTGTGGTTACCTACTTCTCACCTGTAACTCTGAAAGATGGAGCTCTTTCTAGCTATCCAAAACCACAACTTTCTTTCAGCAGAGATTAAAATGTTCATAAAATGCAAAGGGATTCAAGAAACATAAGGAATCCCGTGCTGCTTCTTATGCTTAGGACAAGAACTCCAGACTTGGCCGGCTGCTACCTAAAACAGTTACTGCAATCTCAAACTACCACCTCTTGGAGCAATTATAATGCACAAACAATTCACAGGCTTGGAATGCTTTCTGCCTCATAAATTACTGGCTCTTCTTACAAATGGAAATCGGTAGCATTGATTTGCTACAGGCTAAAAATATTCCAGTCTGAAAAGAGGATTTGATGGTTGCCCTGCATTACTCATGGGATTTTACACACTTCATGACACCATGCTGTAAATCTATTGTGACAAAAATTAATTCTAATAGGCCTGCATTAGAATGTTGAAGTCACAACCCTTTCCACAACTTCACAGAAATAACTTTTTTTTAAATTTACCTACTTAACCTAAATGTAACACAAAAGGAATACTGTCTGATAAAACCATATGATTGAGTGACATTTTTAGAATGAACCATCAAAAACACTAATCTCTGAAGCAGAAGTTTGGGCAATAAAGTGGATGTATTTTTTATTACACCTTTGTGTACCATCATTTCCAATGTTAACTGAGGTTGAAATGAGATCAGATTTTATTTTTACCTTCTAAGTAAAATATATTAAAAAATTAATAGCAACTGATAATGCCAGACATACAGGAAAAGAATGTGGAGGATAGAGAGAGCATTTCTCAGAGCTACACTTGGTCAGTACCAAACCACAGAAGTGTCCTCAGGGTCACAGACTGCATTTGTCTCATGGAAGCTAATGACATCTGAGCTATTAAATGGAAGCTGGGACCTGACATCATCTCTGTACAATGAAAGAAGTTTCTTGAGGAATACTGAACTCACACTGCAATGGGAGAAGTCTCAAATGCTGTAGAATGATTTTCAGTTTAATGAATCCTAAATCAATTATTATTTGTGAAAACAGAAATCAAAATTCACCTACAAGTTAGCAGACACAGATATAAAGAGGAGGGTCTGATCAGCCTAAGACTTAATCTGCTCTGAGTTTGCCTGCTAAGCCCACTGCTGGATTGCAAACTCAGTGCAAGCATCACCTTTTCCATATATTAACTGTGAGTGAAAAATAGAAAATAACAAATTAATGAATAACAGTTTAAAACTCATGGCTCACCTGTACATGTCAAAAGACATATGTTGAGTGAAAAGTATCTTACTAAAAAATTATCATTTTATTTGAAAGACAGAGTAACTTTGATATTTCTATTCATTTTCCATAAGCAGAATCTATATTTATGAATGCCAGAAAAACTACTTAAAAAGTGCTATAGACTCTCTGTAACCAATTTCACGGCAGATATTGCTTCTATAAAAGGATCCTTTGTACCCAACCCTAAAAACATCCAGCTTCTTTGAAAACAGGTTTGATGGCTTGTGTATTGTTGTCATGGGTTTCAGACACAGCATATCTGCTGACAACCCACCACTCTTCAGGAAGGCTCTGTTACACAATGATACAACGTGAAGCCTGACAGATTAGAAATGGGGTGTTTTGAGCTAAAAATGGAAAAAATATTTCCAAAAAGAATTAAGTATTTATAGTGATTCCCAACTATGCTTGAATTTAACCAGAACACTTTGATTGATCTGAATTTAATTAAAATCCTGCTTGATACCTCCCATTTTACCCTATGAACAAGGATGCCAGATGTGATGCCTTGTTCACATGACCAGACTTTTCATGTACACCTTGAAACAATCTGAGGATCAAGTTTGAAACCATATCAGCAACCAACCTGAATTATTTGCTACATAAATGCCTTTGAGACCACCTGTAACTGAGTAAGCAGTTGTCTCCCATAGTATGCCCCATAAGCACACCTCCCATACTGGAAGTTGCAATATAATCTTGTCTTTAAAGCTCTTTCAAAGTTACAGCTATTTTTCCACCATGTGAATGTGCCTCCATGTTTGCAGATCAGCAGTTTCCAGTTACCCCACCTGCTTTTTGTGGTGATATGACACGATTCACACTGTCAGGGTCTTTGGGCACATTGAAGGGATGCAGGAAGCAAACATAATCAACCTCACTCTTTAAGAGATGTATCAGTTTCTGTTTTGTTTAGTTGTTTAATTCCTTAATTTGGTTACTAGGATGCTGATTATTCCAAAAATTCTTGTCTTAGACCATTTGTCCAACGTCTTTAGCTCAGAGGAAGCATTTTATTCTAGAAAAACACATCTACTAGACCATGACTCCAGAGGCATGATCAGAACATTGTTTATCTAACTCTTACCTGCAAAATCATAGGTATAAATCTAGCATGCAATGCATCAAAACCTTCCTCTTTCCTCCAGTGCACCATAAAGCAGGAAACAGTTGAGTATGAGAGCATAAATGAGAAATATTCCATTCTTTCAGTGAGCTTTAGATAGGATTCTGCACCATATCAACCTCTTAATTTCCACAGAAATATTCAATCAGTAAATTACTAATTAATTTTTTAAATGAAGTTATTTAACAAGTTACTCAACCTGCTGGTTGTTGCTTTATCAATAAACCACATTCCAATGCTCTTTTCAGAAAAAGAGTAACTGGAAATCTCTTTTATGTAGTGTGTTTATGCTCACAATTCAGAAAATCTAGGAAAAAATCTAGAAAAGCCATTTATTGTCCTTCCTGAGCTAAGTCTTTGCAAGCACACACAGAGGACAAGCATAAAACATGTACTACAGCTGGTTTGGGAATTGTCACTTACTTGAGGGTGGAGGAGTTGAAGGCCTTTGAGGTACTGGCTCCTGGGCTTTTGCTGGTTGGATTTGACATGCTCTTAAGTCATTCTTTTCTTGTTTGGGTGCTGCAGATGTTCCCATAGGCTTTTCCCGGCCAACTAAAACATGAAATGTAAAATCTGTCACTAGCTAGAAGCCATTTGCTTTTTCTTTCTCAGAAGCTAACAACAAATCTCCCAGTTGTTCCACACAATAGACGTCAAAATTGTTTTTCTATTGTTCACAGAATGCTACAAAAACTGGGAAAAGACCTGACATACCAATTAAAGTCCATTCAATGTTTTAAAAATCTAAGCAAAAATTTAACATTGACGTAGGAATAAAATGACTTGTTAACATGTGGCTTTCCCAAAATAAACTTCTCCACCCCCAAAAAGTTTTTTTATTAAGAATGGAAGTGCTGAAATGAAAATTGCTAGAGGCCATTTGAATAATAAAAATTAAATTGATGTTGTTAACATGAACATGTCAGACAGACAATATTAGCTCCTTTTAATACTCTTTTTAGTGAGCAACACAGATTCAGGAGGTTTGAAGTCTGTGAAAAAGTAACATTTAGCTTTATTTAATGACACAAGTAAGCACTGACTTGTTGAGAATTTCTATTGAAAACACTGCTCTTCCAAAAGATAATAAAAGAAAATAATTTCCTCATTTCTACAAGGACACAGTGATTAAAATATTCCAATCTCCCTGCAGCAAACAGGCAAACAGGGACAGAACAGTAGGGATGTGCTTACAGTCACCTTCATAATGCTTCAATCACAGTAGATATGCAACAATTAGTATGAGTGTTTGTAGGTTTTGAGACTCTCTTTTTGCTAAGTTTGTTCTCCTTGTGTTTGGAAGAAATCTGAGCAACTTCTCAATTGCAAACTGATGTCCATTTAGCCTTTTCATGAGTTGTTTCATTTCCTGATGTCTGTTGTCAAGTCCACCAGATAAGAGTACATTTCCTGCAGAATGGTGTTTCCTGCAGTTACAATCTAAGTCGGATGGCTGCCTTTCGTAGCCAGTTTTTCACTAAATTAAAAACTTTGTTCTCCTGAAGGGGAAAAGACAAGCAGGCCACCCAAAGACAGTGATCCAGAGGGTGCTGAGACCCAGTTTCTGAGTCCTGGATAGTTGACTAGGTCAGCTCTCCTGAGGAAATATTTTGACTGCAATAACAATCAAATCTGACTATGGGACAGAGGAATAACACAATGAATATTCTATGTGGGGAGTACAATGTATTTCACATCACTGAAAAAGAAACTTAACACTGCCAAGTAGGCCTTCTTGAATATCTACTAATATCCCTATAAAATCAGGAAACACTGTGGAAAAGTTGGCAGCAAGACAACGTCTCCCAGCCTTCCAAAATCTGTGGCCAGAATGAGGAATACAACCAGGAAGTCAATGCCATCTTTAACTTGTCCCCTGTTTCAATTCTCATTCTCAAAAGCTTGTTAAAAAAACAATTGACATCTAGCATATCATTAGTATTATTAAAAGAAAGGAATGGAGTTAACTGAAGATGTAGGAGAAATTAAGTGTGCATACAATAAATTTTCACTTTTAAAACTGCTGAAACACAAGAGAAATTGTTTCAATGTATCTTTTACACTTCTGCTTTGAATTTTGCCCATTAGAAACACTAGTTACTAAATAAAACCATACACTATTGAGAAATCACATACATTTGATGACCTGTGGGTAGAAAAAGATATTTCTCTCTCCAGTGTTAACAACTGGCTTAGTTTGGCCATCTGGCAGAAGACCAACATATATCCCTTTATTTCGCACTGATTCCAGGCTCACAGATCCCATTTCCAAATTCTTCTCAATTTTAAATTGACAGTATTCATCACCTGTGCCCTAAGAAATTGATAACAGAAACATGAATCCAACAATTGAATTAATGTAGCTAGAAGACTCTTTAAAAGTCTTAATTATTACTACTTTCCAGTAATATTTCAGATTAACTTTACATTCTTCACAACATGATACATTACTACACACACAGAGACATACCTGCACCCAATCCCTGTTTATTCCTTTATGACCAGAAAGACTAATCAAGTAAGTTAGGCAGGTGAAAGACCAAATGAAAACATTCTGATTTATGTTAGGATTTAGGCAAAGGCTAGGATATATTCAAAGGAGTTTCCCACTTTAACAATTTCCAAAGGATTAAGGAATGTGAAAATATCTATATCAGAACACATAGGATATTTCTACACAAATTTTATGCATAGCCCAGATTTGCTAATGCTACATAATATAACATGTATTAAATAGATGTAATTCATTTTTTCCCTCAATTTCAGAGCACTTACAAGTTTAATTTCAAAACCTTTAGCCAGTGTCACTTTTTATCCAGATATCCTGATCCATTGGTGAGAGGACTGCTGAAAAATTAAATACTCACAAAGCCTATATTCAAAATATGGATCAAATATTTTAATCCCTGAAACCGTACTGGAGGCAATAAAAAACTCTCATGGACGTTATACCTGAGAACTTACACAGCTCAATTTCATATTCCGTTGGCTTAAACTCCCAAATCAAAATCATGCAAAAATATTTCTTGCATTTATTAACTTAGATGAACAGAAAAATAAAAGTTAGTGAAGTATGCAGTTACTTACATCTTAGTTATTCTTTAACGGGTTTTATCTGTATCATCTATCAAACAGTACATAAGTTTTAACTACCTCCACATTCTCAATAGTTTAGTAATATAATCAGATCTTTACTGAGTCCATCAACTGCCAAATTGACACAACACCCTCTCTTGCTATATTTTTCTGCTTTTGCTTTGGCAAATGAAGGAAAATATTTGAAACATTTTTAATCTGAACAAAGTTTTATGCCAAGAAAATAAAAAAAGATTCTCTCCTATCACTGACAATTCACTCAAATGGAAATACAAACAATAACTGCTTACTGTTCCATCACACTGGTCATCTTGGATCTTCAGATACATTCTTGGCTTTTTTACACTTTCAAACATGCAGAGTCCAGAGCTGATTTTATGCACTTTCCAGTAGGATTCCTGCTGCTGCTGACCTGCTCCACTGCAGCTCCCATCAGGTCTAAGGGACAGAGCCTGGCAGAGACTTGTGTTGAGCAGAATGATGGCACCATGATGAAACACACCCTTTAGATCAGAAACAAAAAGTCCTCTGTGAACAGCACAGCTTTTCTCCATATTAAATTTGGATACTGATACTGCTCCTACCATTTAATTTTAAGCACTTATGCATGTCCTTGTATAAAAGATAAAAGAGTCAGTCTCAAGTAATTCAAATACACCTCCAGTCTTTTAATACGTGCTGCTTTCTGTGCACGCACCAACCAGAGCAGTGGAAATCCTTCCCTACTCTGCAGCGTCTCTGTTTTTTCTTGCTCAGCAGCACGGCACAACATCCAGAGAACAAGGAGAGTGGCAAATTAAGGAACTTATCTCTTTTCAACAACAGCTCTGTGCTACTTTTTGACAATCTGCTAGGAAGTTGAGGGTCCCATCTTTCCTGTGTTACTGCCCACTCTGTCTGTGTGTTCCAGCTGCGGTACCGGAGAGCAGCAAAGGGAACCCCCTCAATGCCGCCAACCTGTTACACTGGAGTTGGGCTCCACCTCGTGGAAGAGGATCCCTCTTTTACCTTGCCAATCTCTGAAACTCCGTCAGGGACAAGCTGCTTTATAACAGCAAATTTTAGAAGGGTCTTCCTAATTTTTCCCTGCCCACCTCACCTTGACATGCACTACAAATTCTCTGGAAAGCCCAGCATATCCTGTTGCTTCATCAGCCACTTTTCCTTGGATGTTGAAAGCCACAGTGTGACCTGGGTAGCTGGCTGACTCAAGAATGGCACGGCTGCTTGCTTGAAGGTGGACACGGAGCTCACAGCAGGCCTTGTCTTTGCTCTAACACAGTCAAAGAAGGAATAATAAATTATATAAACTATATGGCAAAATCCAAACAACAGAGAGAGTATTACAACAGACTTTCTGTGTTGTTGAAGTTCTCACAATACTAGCAGTCTAGTACAAAAATCTTTCCATTTTCCAGATGTGCAATTGTGAAATTGTGGGCTCTGTGGAATTTGACAGAAACAGTTCAATGTACAATGACACAGATCTGGCCATAACATGAAAGATAATGGGTGCCTCACTCGGAGAGTGTGTCACAGCCTATAAATATAGCAAAGTATAAAGCTGACACAAGCAGGAAATGAGCCGTGGTAACTCTTGGCCACCAGCCCACCTTCTCTAGCTTTTGTGTTTGTTCTCATTCATTTATACTGTTCTCACAGAAAACACCCAGAGAAGCAGAAGTTTTATATGAAAGAGTAAAGCAACATGCTTTACTCCATGATTGCCTGTTCAGCTTGGCAGGCTTTATGATCCCATTGTATGAAATACATAATTTAATATTTTATCAAACTTTTCTCAATACATAATAATACATATTTAAATATTTTATCAACTCATCATCATTCTCATATTTAAATAAAACTAGAATTTTAATCAATGTAAAATGCTAACAATCCCTCTAATAATTTATAATACTTCTAATTTACATCATCTTGGAATTTTCAAGAGTACAAAGAAGCAATATTTCTAGGAAAATTTTTCATTTTCATGGCAATACCTTCTGGAGATAAAGCTAAAAGAACTGTCTATCAGATTCAATATACCTATAAAACTAAAGGAAAAATTGTATGGATTTTAGAAGTAGTTGTGAAACAAGTGAGTAAGCATGTCCTCAAAGTACAATTAAGTATGTGTTATAAGGCAAATTGCAATTTTGTGTTGCCTTTTTGTTCCTCCAGTGCCTGAGAGACAGGTATCATGTCTTACAGGTGTCATAAAACATCAAAGACTCCCAAAGCACCCTCAGACTCATTTCTGGGGCCTTTCACCAGAGGACTGAGTTCTCCTGCATGAAGGGAGGTACCTGGGCATTCCCACCTACACTCCTCATTCAAACCCTGTGCATATATTTACACACATGGATCATCCAGTGCTAGTGCTGTTTCACTCTAATCAGCCCTAAGGAGTCCCTTTACAAGAACCTGGATTAGTCCCATTTCCTGGTCTAGGTCATAACAGTTGGATATCAGGAAAAGAATCATCACAAAGAAAGTGCCTGGGCTCTGAGTCCCTTCCCACTCAGGATATTCTCTGATTCTATGATTAGAAGGAACTGAATTCTACAACTCCATTTATCTACTTGTATACTGCAACTGCTGAGGAAGAAAGGTCATAGTAAGACTTTGAAGCTGGGCTGGAACAAATCAAAATGCATCAAAACAAACCCTGTATTATACCAGCTGTCTTATGACTGGCATTTTACTTGAGAAAAAATAGAAAAAACACAAAGGAAAAAGGGGCATTCATTTAAAATCAAGCCAGAGAATTTTTCCTTATTGAAAAAGAGGAGATATTAGAGCATTCCAGGCAGCTTGTCAGCATGTGGCAAACGAATAAAAATGACATCTTGGAATGGCCTGGTATTTCTGAATTAAAGAAAATAAATTTACCAAAAAATAAAAAGTAAAGTGTGAGAAAACAAAACCCTATCTGTAAATTCACCTATTTATCAGCAATTTCCTGGGTTCCGTTCTGTAATTCTTCACTCGTTATCTGATTGGAAGTACAATTATTTATTAGAGAGATTTTAAAAACTTGTTTTTTAATCAGACAATGACATGTCTTTATGAAGTAACAGCATTTCCTACCTTTCCAGTTACACGGCCACTGACAAGAGCAAGAGCAAGAGATGGCATTTGATGACTGCTGAATATACATATATTTCTCCTTTTGACATTTACATCAAAAAGACCTAAGAGTTAAATGAAAAAAAAAAGCCAGAAATATGAAAGTCTAATAATTCATATTTGCATTTAATTATAATAGAGCGTTTATCATTTTCAAGGAAAAAGAATTACCTATGTGTTTAACTCAACAGTTTGACCTCTCTGATCAATAAATTCTCTCATTCATTCAGGAAAGGGCATCTAGGGACTACTGTCTCTTTTGCTGCCTTGAGGAGAAAAGCCCTGAGAGGTAATGATAAGGAACAAATTTCTTTTTATCAGCACATATGTTTAAAAAAAATCCATAAAAAGGAGCTGAGAACTCCAGCATAATGATCTGGGCTCTAGCACTGAATTTAGATGATAAATAACAGATGATGTAGGGAACATAAAGCTCTCAGGTAAGAAAAGAGACTTCATTTTCTCTATACTCATATTAGAATTTGTATAGCAAATCCTGCAGCATAACTCATGGCTTCTCAAATTTTAAATCTGGCCAATTTTCCAAACAATTAACTCTTACAGCTACAAAATACTGATGAAAGGTAAATTCTTGCCATTTTTTATTGTTCCCAGGGACAACAGTGATTTTTTTTTAAGCAACTGTTCTACCAAACCATTATGTTGCAGTTTTGTAAGATGCAGCTGTCTCTGGAGGAGTCCTGTGGTGACCTGGAAGATTCTATCACTTCAGAAAAGTCTGTGTAAGGTCCCTGTGTAAAGTCCTCGGTGAGATGTCAGAAAGACTGAACCATTCCATCAATTCCAAGGGAATAAAATACATGTACCTAATATGATATGTATTAGAGTTAAGTGTTACTAATGCAGGAGGAGGAAGGTCAATAAAAGGTGGAACTGGTAGACTACCATTAACATCAATTACAAAAATGGAATAAAATGAATTTATGCATACACACACACACACACACACACATATATATATATACTCCTTATTAATGAACTCTACCTAAATTTGAGCTTGTTATCTTACATGGATCTAAGATAAAGACTCTAGCTGTCCTTGCCATGTGAGTTCTGTGGGAGCACCAAACTGAAGATGACAAGTTTTTCTATTTGGTAAAGGAAAGCCAGTGACAAGACACCATATGAGAATTTGTGTGTGTCTGTATAAACTAAGCATATTTTCTGAGTCCTTATAGTCATTAACACATATGTATTTTAAGCAAGGAAAATGTTTAGTATGATTATATACTCTTATCCATTTTAGGAATCTCAATATAAAAGTCTTTCTTTGTATCTCTTATGCACACATCCACATGGGAAATACTTTACCATATTTGTTTTTCTTGTCACCAAGAGCATCAACTCTGCTATCTGGGTACAGGCAAACGAAGCCACGAGTGACCCTGTTGTAAAATTGAAGTGTAATGCCTTTCCGAAATTTCCACTTTTCTGCAGCCCACTAGTTTGGTACACAACAAACAGAAAAGACTTATGAGAAGAGGATACACAGGAATTTGTCATACAAAGCATTCAACTGACCTGATTTCACTCAAAGCATCATTTCAGGGGTTTAAATTAAAATGAAAAGGTATACTCTTACAGTTTTTTCTCTCTTGAGTTCCAGCTCTTGTCCTGTGTGGTTAAAAACAGTGTAATTAATTTACAGAAATTCTTCATTCCCTTTGAGACAGTTTTCTTCCCCACCAATTCTCACTTACTTCCTGGAAGCATGCTGGCATCTGTCACAGGCAGTTCTCGAGAAATATTGCCATCATCCTGTCCCTGGTCCAGCCACCTAAGAACCAGAACCTCTTTCAGTAATTACCTTGACTGGCAACTTCCAAAGTATGCAAGACACTTGTATACAATACTTGCTGTCCTATGCATTAAAGTCTCAAGGCTGACAAACAGCAATACAAAAATCCAGCTTTAGTAAAAAGAGATTAACATTGGAAAAAAATTATTTTTCTTTCTTGTTCTTGGTGAAACATAAATAAATGCTTTCCTGGATGGAGGTAAAAGGACCTGACCCAATTGTTACATGTCAGAGAACTCGGATTCATCCCAGATTGATCATGAATTGTGCAGTGATCACAATGTTTGTTCTTCCAGTCTGCAAGAAGGTGACAGCAAGATGCAAATTGTTCCATGCCCTGAAAATCCCTATAGAAGGAGGCAAACCAAACAGTGGCAACACTTTCACCAGGTCTGAACTGTACTTTCATATTGCCTTTGTACACAACTACTTATGTAAGTTAACTCCATTTGAGTCAAAAGCATGCCCACACTCAGAGCAAGACAGCAAGCACGGCATCAAGCTTTAACAATAACTAGCACATACCCTGCATTTTTCTGCCTGAAATGGATTTGAACTCTCCCTAAATTATGTATGAAGCCAGCATTATAGATCTCTTCATAGCAGTTCATCTCATCTCAAATACAGACTCAAAATTAGGTCAGGCAAGGATGAGGTGCTGTATCTGATATGCAGAAAGCCCTTACTCACACATAAATCAGTTTCAGTGTGCACATCGCTCACTCTGGGCTGTCTCAGGCAGTTATTTATTCACTCAGAGGAGTGAGAGGAGGAAATAGAATTGGGGTGCCACTGGCAAGCTGCAGCTAGACTCTTACGTGACTGGACTTTACCATTCCTAATATTTGCACTGATATTTATCGATTAAGATTTTTCCGCAAGGTGTTGAGGATTAATCAGGCATAGATAAAGCTGTAAATGAGTTATAGAACAGAAGAATCAGAGCAGCAGCATCTGCAGGGGAAAAGGCAGCGAAGTTAGGATCGCTTCAAATTACGTTGCAGCTGAGTGACGGGCTGCAAAGCAAATGAGTAAAGGGGATGTGGTCAGGCAGCTGCATTTGTGATTGTCATTTCACAGGATCTTAAAGGCTGATCCTGAGCTCACTGAACCCCAAGGTAATCTCCATGCTAACTTCAGTAAATCAGGAGATTTGCTCGAGAGCCAACAAGCCATTCTTCTGAAAAGCCTTGCATTGCATGACATGGAAGAATGGATGAACCTACTGGTGTCAGATACAAGGTGTTGGATACAGAAAATGTGTAACAAAAGCCTATCTTAAATAGTTCAAAAGGTGCCAGAATGGAAAGTTCCCACACAGAACTTTTTTTGCTTAGTTCAAAGACCAGATGTTTGACCAGATACATCTCTTAGAGCTGTAAGAAGACCATCAGACTATCTCAAGTCTCTTCTTAGGAAGTACATATTTCCCCTTACAGGATATTTCAGGAGAAAAACTAAGGGTAGTCACAAATTTATTAAACATCTAACACAAATCAAATATAACCAACCTGTGACAAAGAAAAATATAATCCAAATCTGTTATAGGATCCTTGATTACAACTTTGTCCAGAAACCATCCATTTCCTTAGAAGAAATAAAGTGAAAAACAAAACATTGTTCATTAAAGAAAAATTGATGCGTTTCATTGCGTCAGACTTCCTGTAGTTTTCTCTCTTCTACTGGAACTACAAAATCTGCAGCTCCACTGGCAGGTTGAAAGAGTGACAGCTACCCTTACAGCTAGAGAGAGGACAGTACCTGCTCTGGGTACTCTGGAGCTTCTTTATAAGCCTGAAAGCTGCTGGGTCTGTCCCTGCCTACATCCCTCCCTCCTTTAATATTGCCATCCTATAAGTCTTATTCGTTTTGCCCATCAAAATAACAACAAAATTATATAGCAGCTTATGATGGCTTAAAATAAGTTGCTGTGTTTACAGTATTTAGGTTCAAGAGTTTGAAAAATAGGACTTTTGATAGTAAGCATTTTAAGTTTCACCATTAATTGGAAGTCTAATGACAAGATAGGGTTACAAAAATCTTCAATTGCATCTTTACAATGTAACTGATAGTGCTAATCCATCTAAAATTATAATAGCTCATTTTCACTTTAATACAAGACACAAGCAATGTTTAACATGAAAACATTCCCCCTCCTCACAGTTTTTAACAGGGATTAGTAAAAAATTACTATCAGATGCTGTCCTTTACATAATGGTTGAGAGTAGAGCACAGGTGAGATTTCTGACCTGATCCAAGCCCATTGTGTCCTATAACTATCTTGTACAAACATCCAAGGTGCACAGCTTCAACAGCAAAGATGTCAGTCTGTAATCAACCAACAAAATTTCAGAAAAATCTAAAATGCACAGCATTCTTCAGCCACGAATTTCTGAAGACCCAAAACCCCTTATAGCTCTTTAGTCAAGATCATAATTTGAAATATTAGCTGATGATAAAGTGAGAGCAAAACAGGAAGGTCAGGTTTCCTGAAACAGAAGCAGAAGCCTGATCACTTTGCTAATGGGAGTAGTGCCATTCAAATGAATGGGATCAGAGTCAGAAAAGAGAAACCTGTTGAAAGCCTCAATGGCCAAACCATTACAAATTACAGCAGATTTCAGCATTAGAAATGTGGATATAAAATTAAATTTCATTTCCTCTTTGCTTATTAAATAAAATTTTTAGAAGAATGAAAACCAAAAGTACACAGTTTACCTATTTTTAAATGAAAATTCTCACTTCCAAAAGCACTGGTATAACTTTAGAAAGCATTTGCAACTTACTTAGGGAATTTTTGGAAGCAATTGGAATGTAGTAATTATCTCTTTTTCTAACTGCAGCCTTCTTGGAATCACCACCCACCCAAGACAGAAAAGCCAGACAAGCATATCAAAAAATGCCCTTTCACTTACTTGTCCTTTTAAGAACTTCTTGGGTTTCTGTGACCTGAGCAGCTGTCTTGATCCTGTATCACCTCTTTCTCCATAGACAGAAATGTAGACATCAGCCTCAGTTCCAGCGTTCCACAGGTCTCCTGTTGTCACATGCACTTTGTAGACAGTCACTGACAATAAAAGATGACAACCTTTCATATCACAAGCACTATTATATAGTTACAATAGCATCTAGCTGGCTGTAGAGTCCAAAGACATCTGTGTAAAGGACAGGGTATAAAACTTTAAAAATTCTATTCAATAAAATAAAATATAAAGTTGATTTATGTTTTCTGTGGTTGTTACATTTATTGTTGTGTCCCAGACTGTCACTTGTGGAGAATGCAAACAGAAGTTAATTTTAAGTGCCCAGTAGCATGTCTTGGAGCAGCATCATTTGAAATCATCATAAACTGAAAAGTAAATCATGTAAATCCAAGATTAGAGCCACCATAAGTGGTGAGATCAAAACTATAAAAAGCAATGGGAGCCATTAACATTTTGAACACACTGGTTAACCAAACAGGCTAAAATCTAGCACCATAATTTTAGTTTTCTAAGACCTCAGAACACTGCATTGTGTTGTTATTTTAGCAATTAATGCTACAGGATAGAATCATGGAATGGTTTGGTTTGGAAGACACCTTTAAAGACCATCTAGCCCTTGCCATGATCATGAACATCCTCAGTTACATGAGGTCACTTAGACCCATGTCCAACCTGACTTTGATTGCTTCCAGGGATAATTAACCTCTCTATATTCCATGTGGAAATCCTTTAAAGCATATAAATTTAGGGCAGAACAACTAATACTTAAATTCAATAAATCATTTAATTAACAAGAATGGATATTGCAAGTAAAACTAAATTTAAGTTAAAATATGATGAAACTAAAGACTATGTTACATAAAAATATCTACCAACATAAAACTGTGGTACTTAAAATGCAGATGTAGGAACTCCATAAAATCCAGAAGTAAGAGAAAACATGCAGTTATAATCTTCAGTATTAACATGAGAAAGGCAAAATTTATGCCAATATACACTAACAATATTTTGTTAGACCAGATGAGGCACTAAGAGAATGAAAGGGGAAGAGAAAACCTCATTTTCTGGCACACAAGCTCTTCTTCCAAGGGTAGGTGAGTGTGTGCTTCTCTGTCTTGCAAGCAGAAAAAAGTTTCTGAACCACTGAGTTCGAAACAACATCAATATTATGATCATTCAATTGTCAGTTTCTATTTGAAACATGTTATGAAGCTTGGCTGTAATTCTCTGAAGGAGACTGTTTCCAGATATCACTCTTCTGATGGCCAAACACCTTCCTTTAATAAGCACTGAAGATTTATTCACCATCAGTCCATATCTGCTATTATGCTAGGTGGCTGGTCAGTGCTGCAATTTTTCTATTCATCCTTATTTTTTCATGATTATCTCTCATTTAATTACGTAGGTTTTTTGTGCTTGTTACTAATCAACCTTTAAAGAATTCTATTTGGAAAATGGAAATACTTCAGCAAAAACACTAAACAGCCTGCACGGGTTTTAATGTGCCCACCCAGTACACCAGTGGTAATTTCCTTCTGGCATGAGAGCTAACTCATTTTGAGATCAGAGCCTCTGAGCTCCTATGAAGTATGTGGTAAAGGCCAGCCACATTTAACACACAGAAGCTTTTGACACTCTTGACTTAGCACCATAATCAGGCACTGTTTTTCCCAGTGTATGCCTGTCTCAATACTCAAAATAGTTTTCATTTAGCAACTGTTAACTCATACTGCACTTTACCCATATAACTTCGCATGTCACCACCTCATCTTGCCCAATTTTTTCTTTGCACCCTCCACGAACATATGTCCCATAAACAGACCACAGCAGAGGGAGAGAATTAATTTCTCTAGACCAACAATTCCACACATAGTACCACAATAATGCTCTACTGCAACAATTTCCTCCTTCAATAACTACCTGCTTTCCAATTCCTGTAAGAAGAAAAGCAAAGGTACACCATCTAGCAACGCTGTGTGTCCCTGATTTATTCTCAGGATATAATTAATGATTGTGTCATAAACCATGAGCAGACAGGGACAAAAAGTAGAAAGATTCAGGATAAAACGTCAAATGAATGCTGCTCAGTCCTCCAGCATTACAGCAACAAAGTCTCTATGTAACACTTCTTAACAGTTTAATTCCCATGTTTTTCCTTTGAATAAAAAAGAATGTTAAATCAGAGAGTGCTTCAGCCTCTTTTTATTCAGAAATTGGTTTTAAAGTACCTCTCATCATCTCTCTTTCACAATGAATCCAGACCCCTTCACTGTTCTGTTATCAAACTATCTTCTCTGAAGTTAAAAGCTGTGTTCCCTTTACACTGTCTCATGCAGAAATATAACACTGGCAAAGAGACACAGGGGCTGTCTTTCAATTACTAAATCAGAGATGAAACTGCCTTCTCCAAAGCCTTCTGCATGACCCCTTTTACACTGAAGCTGGTAGAAATGCACAGAAGCTCTTTTCTTCCTCCCTTGTGTGAGAGAGAAATTGTTAACTACAAAATGCAGATTGAGACGTTGGTTATAAGTGGGTCTTTGTGCTTTTCATGCATGAAGATTACTCAATAATAAAAATCTTTCATTGTATCTTCACTTCAGAAACAAGGAAAGCTGCTACTCAGAAAGAACCCAAAAATTAGGATGTTCAGAGAATTACAGAATATTCTGTGCTGGAAGGGACCCACAGGGATCATTGACTACAATCTTAAGTGAACAACCCCTATAGGGATTGAATCCACAACCTTGGCATTATTAAGCACCATGTGCTAACCAGCTGAGGTTGTCCAGGTCTGCATCTCAGGATATTTAAACAGAAGGACATTTGGGGAAGAAAATATACTGCAAATAGGGTAATAGAGCATATTCAATGCGATATGTCAATTATCATTAATTAGCATTTATTCAAAGGGGTGAGGAGGCACTTGACTTTTATACCAGTGTGTTTGTATGTCCCCATATAAAAACAGTATTGGTCTCCTGACCAAAGAGACCAAACCTGTGAGGAAGCAGGCTGAGCACCTCTGAGGCTTCTCTTGTTATGAAGATCATGACCACCCAAGACAAAAAATCATTGTGGTTAATGTGGACGGGCCTCTCTCTCTCTCTAGAGCATCTTGTAAGCTATTGACATCTGCTAAGTACTGAGGGAAATCTCCCCAGTTATTCTTTTTCTCTTAAAACAATTTTGAAGCACAAACCTGTTTTTTTTCCGATCTTCTTAAGAAGGCTCTTAGTGTCAGAGCTCAGTCGTCACAGAGAAGCATAAATACAACTCCAGGCCACCCATCTCTTTATCACAAGAGTAACTCTCCCAAGGTATGTTTTCCCACATCCATTTTTTAGACTTCTGCCTCTTGATTTTATCTGCATATATCCTCTTCCTCTAGCCTGCACCCACAATATCTGTTACCACTGAAATACCTGTTACAATTTCAACTTTGCAAGATCAAAATAAGGGACCATAGACACACCATAAAGCACTGATAAATTGTTAAACATTTTGAAAAAGGTGTTTCAAAGTTTTTAGAGAACTTAGAATGGAAGTTTCTCTCATCCCATTAATTTTGTCCTCTGCAGCTGATATGATTTTTGTGGGGAAGAGAAGAGGATGTGTCCCAGGTGGATCTTGCTCTAGTGAAATCCTAGCACAAGTAATACCAGTGGTGTTATGGCTCTTCCCCCTCTAGCATCACACCCTAATAGGATGGGAATCTGCCACAGTATTCTCGCTCCCTCACCCACATCTCTCCCAGGACCCAAGCCCTTGTAATTTTCTTACAAATTTTCCAGAAAAGTACAATGCCATTTGGAGAGAAGGGATGAACAAGCACAGACTTTCCACCCCTTTGCACTGATCAAGCAGAGGGATCATTAGCAACATCAGGGACTGGTGTGGTAGAGCAGAACACTAAAACAGTGCAACAACAGCAACACACAATAATTTTCATATCCTTTGGAAAAATTCACCTTTAGAATTACTATACAATCTCTCTGTGAATAATGGAGATTTTAACACTTACAGCCTCCTGAAATATTTATTCTGAAAGATTTATTCCACGTCCAAAAATTAAAAGTATTCTGGAAGTCTGAGCCACTTACCAGAAAGAGACTGAAACAGCAGCTGCAATGGTAACACTGGAGCTATAATCCTCAGTTACTGAAAACAGAGTTTGTGATCTGGCTCACATGCTGGCTTCATGATGGTTACATGTCTGACATGTCTTTACTGTTGCCTTTGTCTTAAACCAAACATAAGCACAGAAAATCTTACCAAACAAGGAATCCACTTGAAGAATGTGTGAAATTCAAAGCATTAAAGACTTTCTCATTTCTTTTCCAGTGCTTTTTAACTTTCCACCTGACTGTGCACAGTAACAACAGGAAAGCAAAGCAGAAAAAGTGTTGTGGCAGCCAAAAAGTAATAGAAGGCCTGATGAAAAATAATGAACTCCCCTCTATCGACATCAGTCTGGGCTCTGACTTTGCTGATGTGGTATTGTGCTTACCTGGAAGAATAGGCTGACCCTGCTGGAAAACAGGAAGCTCCACAGATATTTCCCCATCAGCCTGGTCCTTGGCCAGCCATCGATGTGCAGGGAAAGAGAACTGCTCCCCTGAGAAAAGGTTCAGCAACTGCACCTAAATAGCACCAAGAATTCCAATTTAACTTGCTGATCACAGAGCAGATGGAATAGAACATGAAACATGTGGGATGCTGTTGAAATCTGTGCAGGTGGAGCTTTGAGGATAACCACAAATCCATGGGTTTGGAGCATTTCTGCTCCCTGGATCCAACTGCCCAAATCTGACTTTTGGCTGAGTCATATTTGAAAGCTCAGGGCAGAGTAACTCAAGTGCAACTGAGAAATGTTGATTTGTCAGCTCAGGAGCACTCCTGACACTTTTGTCAGCTCAGGAGCACTCCCACAAGCTGCAGCTGCTGCTCCAGCTGGTACATCCATGGGGGCTGGCACTAGGTGGCATGGCTTACCACAGACAGGACTTCTCACCAGGAAGCTTGTCAGTGCTTGTATCTCTATTCCTTTAACTTTTATCAGAACAGGAATTAAAGGGACAGGTTTCAATGTGACATAAATAAACCATGAAAGTGCCCCAACACCAACTGAGACCTACACAATGCCCTACATTATTTTCTTCCATGCCCAGCTTCAAGCATGTAGCAGCAAAAGGACCATATGCAAACCAGCTTAAGGAGGAAAAGAGGTTATTTTGTACTTCAAAGTATTCCTTAGTAAGCACTTCAGAGGCTGCTGTATATTTTAACAGTCCCTGATTATGCTAATTTATACTCATATCTACAGTAGATTTTGGATTGGCAGAGAGAAGGGAAGACACTCCTACTTGTAGTTTCACTCTGTGCTTTGCAGAATCTAATCTCCTTAATTTGAATATTGAACAAACTCAGATTTACTGGAAACATTTTTATCTCTCTTGCTGCTTGAATATTAAAATTTAAAGACAAAGATTCATCTTGTCTGACAAACCTGGCTCACCTTAGCCTTTCAGCATCTGCTGATGAAGCCTGAAAGGGAAATTTGGATTAGCAAAGCAGCACCTCCGTGGACATTTCCTGGTCTGATATCATCTCAGTACAGATACAGACACAGAAACCATGGGACACTGATGGAGAACTAATGTAACTAACTACCAGAAAAGCTCTGTAGTTGTATAAAACGCTCTTTTCGTTTTAGTTCTTCCTGAAAATAAATGTAGGTTTCCCAAGAAAAAGCGATGCTAAGTGTCTGCAGGTTTTTCCTCTTGTGTGAAGTCTAGAAATCAATGACTGTATTCCTTTGTCTCTGAACCATAAAAACACTATCTGTAAGGTTTGAATGTATTTCCTTTTTTTTTTCCTTCTTTTCTTTCACTTTCTGCCCACAGTTGCAAAGAGGGAACGACCTGGTCCTGGCTGATGAACCACTCCCTAAAACTGTATCTGATTGACTGAGATTACATAGAGACAATTAAAACTTATAAGTAAATAACTAAAGTGTTAATTACACAGCAGCATTGGGGTTTTTTTTAATTTTACTGTTGATTTCAATTAATATATCCTAGGTGGAAAGAAGGTTAATAATAACTTTTTGGGTTTTTTTCTTTCCTTTTATTTTTTGTCAGACTTCCTCAGTCTCTCCTTTTTAAATGTCTGTCTCCAAAACTCACTACAGCTGGAAAATAGCTAAAGCTATTTTACCTATATAGCTATTTTAGCTATTATAAAACCTAATAGCTAGGTTTTACAATCAGGCAGTCATCACTTAAATTGAAAGAGATATAATCCCCATAATTCTATTAGGAAATCTCTTAAAGTGATAATAGTTTACTCTTAGATAGTTTAGTCTTAGATAGATAATATTTCAGTGTAGACATGAACTGGCTAGAGGTATGAGCTCACAGGATCTTGCCTAGACTTCAGTTAACACTTCCCAGATCTCTTCCTTCTGAGTCACAGGCCCAGGTAAACACAAGCATCAAATAGCCACAGATTTTGAGCACTGATCAATGAATATTTGACTTCAGTGGGCACTTTGCGTTTGATAGATCTAGATATATCATGAAATACAATTTAAACATTGAGTTTACCAGCAGCTGCTAAAGCTCTTCATAAACTGCAGTCTCTTAACTGAAAGACAAGAAGCTCTGGCACAAAGATGGAAAGGTTTCAGGCATGCATACGACATAATTGGCACACATAGTATCACACTGGATATTAAGATAAAAGTTAGATCCTTTAGTTTCCAGTGCAGAAACTTCTATATTATACTTCCCAACCAAATCTTGAAATGCAACCATCTCATTCTCTTTGCTTTATTATATTTGCTTAGCCTGCATCAAGATATATTTTACATAAGGAGAGAAAAGGACCTCTTCTTGTCACAGACACAGAACTAGAAATATTTGCAATGTACCTCTGGCGCTGTGCACAGGGACCCATAGGCATCAGGGACAGATCTGGGGAGGACTTGGCTAGGCTGGCTTCAGTGACTTTGTGGGTTTAAGCAAACGCCAGACACCACTCTTTGTAGCATACAAAGACTGTAGAAGACCCAGACCATAGCAGCTAAGTCAAGCAGTCTTCCCTGCTGCCCAGGCACACATTTTTAAAGAAACATAATACATTAAATTGCAAACAGCCAACGCAGACATCATAAGCTGCTTTAATTCCACACAAAACCATTCCTTCATAAGTAATCCCTTAAATGAGGGTGAAAGCATTTGGTGAGGCTAATATAATCCCAGGGATTTTTTTTCTTACTCATATTTTGAGTCCACTATCATAGTGACTGCTTTTGGACAGAAAAAAATTCTTTCTCACTGCTTTTACCTCTTTGCAGTGCCAGGCAGGGGAGTTTCCTGCATTTGTGTGTCCTATACGTATTTTGTAGAGATGTCCTATGTTCCTAGTATTGACCTGCAAAAGAAACACAACTAAGGAAACAGAGATCTTTTGTTAAAAGAAAAGATACACAACAGAAATTCATTTAGAAACTGTAAGGTGACACTTTTGATTTAAGGAATTAAATATTCTGACATTTAAACAAGCCCTTCCAACATATTTTACTTCAGATAATCCTTAGACATTTGGGTCCTCTAAAAGACAGCCCTCAAAAATCCAATTGGCCTGCCAATTCCATTTAAATATCTTCAGGAAGTTGCTGTAGTAATTCCTGGCTGAATATTTGCCTCAGTGGGAGGTGAATAGAGACCATATGTATGACAAAAAGCAAAAGTGTCTTGACCATAAAACCTGTCTCAGTTTAGCATACACCCTAGTGACCTGCTCTAAAATTATTTGTCCTCCCATATACCTCTGAGTTTCTCCCTACCCTTCCAGGATTGTATGCCTTACAATATTTGGAAACAATTGTGCTCAGCTTTGATGCTTCTTTTCACAAAAAAAATTTCAATTAAATCAAGTTAAAAAGCTGTATTTGAAAGATTAGCTTTTGGGCAGGCTGGATGAATATGTCCAGTACAGATAACAGGGCACTGAGGGAATAACTTTGTGTGAAGGTTATTCAAACAACCTTACTATGAACTTAAGTGTAGAAATAGAAAGCTTATCTTCAAGGAACTGGAAGTACACCATCAGTCTTCCTTCCTCACTGTATAATTTGTTTTGTTATAATGTAGGCTTGATTTTCTCTCCTGTTGTTTTCCGTGGAATTAATTTTTGTGTTTTCATTGACATTGTATAGAAGGGTATGAACTGAGTTACCTGTATCATGAATTTCCCTGAACTCAGTGTTATAAAATATAAAGAGGCAGAGCAGCAAGGATAGGCCACAGTTATGTGCAAATACAGTGCACTCAGAGAGCCATTTCTCTTTCTATACATTTCAGAGTAGGTTCTCCTTAATTGTATTCAGTGCTGTGGGTATTGCCTAACAGAGGAATCCTGGATCTCAAACAATGGGACTTTCCTACACATTTTGCATTTAAAAGTCATCATTACTTTTAAATGGTGAAATTAATTTTAGTAATGGCAACAGAAAACAGCCAACAACATGTATTGTGAAGAGGGTCTTTTAATCTGTCAGGACCTGCTTACTTGTTTTATCCACTCCTTTCAATCTTGCTGCTTTTGATATCACGGATGGAGAATGACATTCTGTATCAGGGGTGCTGGGTTCTCCTGAGAAAAGGGATAAGAACTGCACTTCCTGCACCCCAAACATCTATGGGGCGACTGTGGCAAAGGTGAGCTCTTTGTCAGGGCTGGCATCCATCACCTTTTCTCAGAAGGGGAGAGGCTACACTGGATAGTAATGATGGAAGAACCTCTTTGTCATATGGCCCTGTAGCAGACACCTGTAAACAGCCCCTGACAATCCTCTATACACACACAAGCTACGCAGATTGTGATAAAGGACCTAGTCTGGCTCACCTAAATCACCACCATGTAAGACTAATTGAGGAAGAATTTGTTTGTGTAACTGGAAGCAGAAGTAGTTTCAGATAGATTTATTACAGGTATAAAATTTGCCAGTATTTCAATAAAGCAGCAGGTGTTTAACAAGGTTAAAATTTTACTCCATATCCTAATTCTTCACTTCCTCATTTAATTTTTAATATTCTAGCCCTGTTTCAAATTTGCAAACTAAACAATTAGCTATTGTTGTATGTTTCTTGGTATTTTCTTGGACACAATGCAAATAAAACAGAAGTTCTTCAACAGACAATAAACATGTTGAATCAAATGAGCTTTGGATAAGTGATTGGGAAAGGATACTAAATTTAGCTCTACATTTAAGTCTTGTTTCTCATTTCTGTATATGTGCAACATACAAAAAGCTGCCTTTTTATCACACAGAATTTGAAATGTCATGCAATCTGGCAGGAAGCAAGAGGGCAACACAATGAATATATATTACTTACTGTGAAGATGTCTTCATTGCCTCTCTGAAATAATTTTCCTTTCTCTCCATCGAGAAAAATAGGACCTGAACTGCCACGATCCCCATACAATGCAATATAAACCTTTGAGCTTGTTCCTGCAGATGGCACATCACTGGTGAGGACTGACACATTCCATTTCCTAGCTATCAAAACATAAAAAGACCTGCTGAATTACTTAAACTCACGATTCTTAAATAAAATGCATTTTGTTAATCAAAATTCTAAGTAATAGCATGTCAATGAATACAGAAATATGTATTTCACAAAATTACAGCAGGCAAATATTGAGTTTGCTATGTTTGGCATGACAAGAAACGTCAGGTTGCATTCATGTCTTTTATTCTAAATGTCCTCTATGACCTAATTTGAATGAATGTAGATCACCTTTCAAACACAGTTTTGAAATATTGTATTAAATATGGGGTTCTCCTTACTTTGGAAATATCAGCTCTACTCAATGCAGTTCTGTGTAATGACAGCCTTGACACTCATCACTTTAAACATTAGGAACCCTGAAAGCAAATTAGCTCTGCTGAAAAAGAACTGTTTAAGAAAGGATCTGTATCTCTGCAGAGGTGTGATCAGCTACACAGATGTAGCAGCTTGTTTGGAGCACACTGAAGCTCTACCAGCCCAGGAAGGACTTTGATCTGTTGGAGAAAATCCAGAGGGGGCCAGCAAGCTGATCAGAGAGATGAAGAACCTCTGCCAGGAGGAAAGTCTGACAGAATCAGGTTTAAAGAGAAAGCTTCAGGCTGGCCTTCCAGTAACTGAAGGGAGCCTACAGGAAAGATAGAGAGGGACTATTTACAAGAGCATGTAATAAAAGGAAGGGGGGCAATGGCTTCAAACTGAAAGAGAACAGTTTTAAATTAGATATTAGGGAAAATTCTTCACCATGAGGGTGGTGGGGCACTGGAATATTTTGACCAGAGAAGCTGCAGATGCCTCATCTCTGGAAGTGCTCAAGACCAGGTTGGATGGAGTCTAAGTGGAAGGTGCCTGGCCACTGCAGTGGGGGTGGAACTAGATAGGTCTTTAAGGCCCCTTGCAACCCAAACCTTTCATTCAGCTGAAATTAGCTGAATTGAATTCCTTGTTTTGCTTTGCTTGTGTGTGCACCTTTTTCTTTACCTATTAATCTATATCTCAACCCATGAGTCTTCTCTCTTTTACTCTCTCTAATCCCACTAGTGGGGAAGTAAGCAAGCAGCTGAGTGGGGCTTAGTTCTGGCTGGGGCTAATCTGTGACACAAGGTGAGAAAATTGTATTAACTATTCCCCATAACTCTTACAGTGGATCAAAATTGCAATTAGATTAATGATGTTTTATATCATTAGTTCCATAAAAGTCAAGGTACTTGTTTAATAACAATACATTGAACAATTAAATGGTCTTCTTTTCCTCTGACATCCTTACAATTGAGAGAAATATACCTTATGCATTTCAGATTATTAGAAGAAATAGAGAAAATATTTCTATAAGATAAACACTTGAGAAAATGTCTGATTTTGTTGATGAATACCAAGGAGGAAAAAGACTTTAAGCAAATTACAGTGGTGGCTTTGGGACACATGTATATAGACTAACCATGAGTAGGCTGAGGGTGGAAACTAGAAAACATTCATGACAGACATCAGAAGCAGGACTCAAGCTCTAGAACATCTCTCTAGTGGAAGCTGTGATGACTACAGAGAAAAATATTTAAAATGAGATTTAGTAATTACATGGAATTACTTACCTAATTGTGTCATTTCCCTCTAGCAAGCAGCTGAACTAGATAAACTGTGATCTATATGTTATGTTGGCTGCTTCTTCTTAAATTATGGCAAGATAAAAACTGAATTCCTTCCAGATGTATGGCATACTCTCTATAAATCCCAGAACGTTTGCTGAATACTTTTCTATCCTATTAAAGTAGCTCACATTACTTCTCATGGTGTTCTTGCGTCTCTCAATCAGTATGTTTCTCTAGCATTGTGAGGTTCTCTCTTCAGCCTTCTCCAGTCTTAACTATGAAAGCAATTTTGTTTTATCTGTGCATCTCAGATACCTGATATTCTCTATTTTTGCTTCAAGTTGCACCAGGGAGGGTTTAGATTGGATTTCAGATTGGATAGGAAAAAATCACTTCACTGAAAATGCTGTCAAGCACAGGAGGCTGTCCAGGGAAGATGTTGAGTCACCAACCCTGAAAGTATTTAGTATTTAGATCTGTATATATGGCACTTGGGGACATGGCTTAATGGCGGACTTTGCAATTCTGGGTTAATGGTTGGACTCAGAGATCTTTTCTAACCTAAATGATTTCACAATTCTTGGATCTTCCCTGTACCACTAATGAATATATAAACCCTGGGACAGTATGGTACAGCTCACTGTCAACCTTTTGTCCTGCTCTGAGTTGACCATTTTATTCCTTCTCTTTCAGTTAACAGAAATAAAAACCAAGTTTTTCTGTTAATATTCATTTCACCTCTTGCTGTGGTCTCTGCTAATTGTATCCTGAGGGAGTACTTCACATCTCATGTTTTGAGCGCTAGTTTGCTCAGTAACCCTCAGTAACTCAGTAATAAGGATCTGATTAAAGGCTCCTGAACCTTGATCTGGAAGCACTGAGGTGTTGTGAGTGTAGCACAGAGTGCTGTGAATCCAGCAGAAAGACTGTGAGTGATGGAGACATATATAGCTGTTAGCTCACCTATAATTTAGACATTATTTACAGCACAGAGTGCTTTATGACATTCAGATGGATTCTAGCAATTTCGAGTTGCATTTTTCAAACAAAGGTTTTATTTCTGTATCAACATGTAAAGGGATGAAAAAAATACCATTGACACTCGTCAATTGGAACAGTTCTAAAACAAGTGAAGGAGGACACCAAAAGAAGTGGAGATGGACAGAAGAATGTCAGAAACAAGGGCAGTATAGGAAATAACACACAGATATCTAGTGTGAAATAAATTAGACAATACATCTTGCTTTAGAGTTATAACATTTGTTTATTATATAGTATACACCCCTTCAAACAGAAATATAACATTCATTTAGGAGAAAAACTTCTAAAAAAACTGAGTGCTAGGTTTCCTACCTGTACTACAAACCCCTTTTGCTTCACATCCAACTTCTACTTCCCTTCCACGTGCCTTCAGTCCCACACAGACACAATCAAAGCCTCTGGGCCAAGAGGAATTTACATCAGCCTTTTATTAGGTCCCCAATCTGGATAACCAAAGGATCATGACCCAGGGCTTATGTACATGCTAGTTATTCTAGACAGAGTCTTCAAGAGTACAGAATGGCCAAATTCTCATTCTCTACCTGAAAAGCAGCACCTTCTTTTTCCAGGTATACCTCTGCCTTCCTTAACAATGAAGAGGGGTACTGTCCAGTATTAAGAATTAAAATCTAACCAAAAAATTGAAACATTCTCCCTAATCACAATATACATTAAATATTTTCCAATTTTGTGTGTTACATCATTTACTGAAAATTGTAAACCATATATAGGTGCTTACTACATACATGCAGTATTAAAAAATGCTGTAAACAGGTATCCAAAATAACTCTAACAATTGATTGAAAGATCCTGGAACATATTGCATATGCTTTGGATTCTCAAAATACAACATATTTACAAAAAATAAATCAAACAAACAAAGGAAAAAACCCAAAACAAAACCACAAATATAAGCTCTAAAATACAGACAGAGGTTAAGTTAGAACACACAACTAAAACTTTCAGCGTATGTAGAACAATTTAAAGAGTAAGTGGTGCTGTCTCAGAAGGAAATATGGCAACAGCAGTCAGGAAGTCCATTGCAAACAATCTCTGTTCTCAGTTCCTAAATATGCCTCATTTCAAGTGTCCTCTGAGTTAAATAGGCCTCCTTATTTGGTGTCTGGATGATCCTACACGGAAAAATCTATTTACTTACATACATATTCTGCAGCTGGCCTTTAAAATCTCAAACAGCAATTTTATAATGTATATGTACATAAAATTAACATGACTTCTGTTTCCTACTCGTTAGTGTATTACAGCATTTGAATAGTATTTCCTACTTTTCATTTAAAATTAAACATATCTGTTGATTTTCTTCTGGGAAAAGCATTTCTACTGAAAGGCAGTTTTCAAACTCCTTCTCAAATGTCCTGGAATACAAAATCTTAAATCTTGGGCAGGTATTTAAAATTTCAGTTCTCAGCTGAAAAAAAGCAGCCAACCAGCCATTTCTCTAAAATTAGATTATTGGTACACCACTACCTCTTAAAAGATAATATTTCACAGAAAAACTATTTCCTAGCCAAGAAATCATTGCCTTGGAAGTATAACTTTTCTTCATATAGTGGTTCCCATAAAAAATTAATTAATGTTTGTATTTCAGCACTGATATACAATTGTCACTTATTTTTATCTAGTTATTCACACTGAGAGTTTTATGGGTTGTGCTGTACAGCAGCTTATTATGTGATTTTTTTTTTCTGAAGATGTTTTCACTAATCTAATGTAATGGAAATTCCAAGACCTTTATTACAAGTCTTTCTCATCTCTACTGTTTCCACTGTTCATTGTAGAAGAGCTAACTACTTCTTCTTTGTCTTCTTCTGTAGGAAAGGCATTTTTGTTTTTCAGATTTTCAGAGGCTTTATGTTCAGTGCTATTTAAGGAAGTGTCACACTTCAGAAATGTTTCAGAGTGACAGGTTTCTGCTGAATCTGCCAACATGGGAGAACATTTTTCTCCAACAATATAAATTAAATTTATTCTTAAAGTTTGACTTTTTTTTGTCTTTCCATTGGGTAGCTCAGTATTTGTGCCTGTGACAAGATCACTGGGTATGTGTTTGGATACACTATTTTGACAATTTCTAGCTTCCATGTGGTTTGCATACATATCCTCTGTAATATGTAACTCCCTTAAAACATTCATGTCTTTCAAAGTTGAGGATGCAAGTATCCCAAAGTTACTAATAAAATCTAAGGTATTATCAGCATAAAACCTATTAAAGATATTACTGACAATTTTATTGATAGAGTTATTCTTCAAAGTCACATAATTACTTTTGTCTGTCAGGTCTTGACCTGACCACTTTAAATGTTTGCTCTTTTTGGCCAACAGATATGGACCCAGCTGGTTCTCAATATCAGATGCCTTTTGGTAGGCATACCCTCTCTGTTCCTCATTAATTGGTGTTACTGTTACCATCAGTATTGGACAATGTTGGCCACATATTGCATGGAGTCTATCAAGGGAATCTTCTTCACGAAGAGCACTTCTCTCAACATTACTAACACTAGTTGGCTGAGACTGTATGGGTGCAGCATTTGAAGGATTTTCCAAAGGATGCACCTTGTTATCAGGCAATCTAAATTCTACAGATGAGAAGGCTGGAAAATTGGTGTCAGCCTGTGTGGAAGTAGAACCTACCACGGTTGATGGATTGGTCTTGTCTTTGTTTGGTGCAGGAAGGATCTTGCCATTGCGACTAGGCTTGCCTTTTGTATTTGACTCATCCTGAAAGGGGTCTGAATCACTATTATGAGGCATATTGAAGTAGCTACAAAAATTTTCAGGGGGTTTTACCATGTCTTCAAGTTCTGAAGAAGGGATCTCATCAAGGGCAGGGTACTGATCCAGGTTGCCAAAGTGAGAGTATGGGACTTCATCACTTTCAATTGATGTTGTATCCAAATTACCATACATTCCAATCCGTTCAGGTGGTGACCTTCTTATCAAATGATTTTCTTTCAGAAGCCATTTGCCTTTATCTATCAATACTCCTTCATCTTCACTAGCCTGAATGCTAGGTTGACAGTGTTGATTTGGAGATTCCCCTAAACAGTCATTAGCATAGCTTGTCTCTTCTCTGTTAAGAGCAGATTGTGGTGTTGGTAAAGGAGTTTCTCTCCTTGATATACTGTCATCTTTGTTTACTTTTACTGGATATTCTTGTGATGGTAGTGAGGAATGTGAAAATCTCTGTGCAGAACAAGACATAGATTCTTGAGAAAAATAAATTATTTTTTCCCCCACTGCAGAGTGGAATCCTTCAGTATCTGCTTGAAATACCTTCGACATATACGGAAATCCTTTGTGAAAGTCGGGCTTAAATGAAGATTCTGTCTTGCCATAGAGTCTTTCAATAGTTCTCTTGACATAGCCAGTATTATAATGTTTTTCAAGTGCTTCCTCCCCACTTTCATTGGTCAAGTCACTGGATGCTCTAAAGTTATTATCACTCTCTTCAGTATCTGGTCTGTAATCTGACCAGTCTGAAGTAGCAGGACTTTTAAAGCATTTTTTTAATTGAGAGCTGTCAGAAAACATTTTATTCTCCAGTTCTTCTACTTGCAATTTCTGTTCTCCTTCAGTCATGTCACATTCTGTAACTTGCTTTGATTCATAACGAAATGATAATGGAGAGACTGTAGATAACCTCTCAGAGGTTTCCTCAGATATTTCTGCATCTTCTTTGTCTCCCTGTACAGAATAGTCCTCATTATTATATTCTAGAGAGGTTTCAGCATCTAGTGTAGATTGGTTTTTAAGGGTTTGGTCAATATCTGATGACTTTGGATCAACATCCTCATCTTCACTTTTATCAGTACTAACAGGTGCAACACCTTTTTCTCCTTCTAACTCAGAAGTATCCTGATCTAAAATACAATTGTTATCATTAGAAGTTACACTATGAACTGTGGAGTTAGGTTCTACTGAAGATTCTGACTCTTCATTAGTGAATGATATATCTTGAGTTTTTTCGTATAGGTTACCAGGCATTTCTTCATTTCTTTCTGGTGTCTCTATAGCTGATGGAAGGCTGCAGGTATTTGAATTAGTATTGGCAAATTGACCATCTAGTGTTTCAGGAGCAGTCATGTCTAAAGCCTCTGTTTCTTTACAAAGATCCTTCTCTATATCAAAACAGCTTTCTGATTCCCCAGTTAATTTTAGAGCTTCTTCAGAATTTACACTGTCCATCACAGTACAAGGTTCAACTAATTCTTCATGTTCATGCAAATGTGTATTATTAGGAATTTCAGATGTGGGCACATTGTCATGTGTGGAGCCCTGCTTTTCAAGTTCCTTCCTGAAGTGTACTAAGTTATTTTCTGTTGATTGTTGGAGATGTGAGAAGACAGCCTTCAGCTCATCAGCTTGTTCTATAGTTGCAGTTTGTTTCAGACATTTTAACTGCGTAAATATTTCAGAACAGCTACAGGCATTTTTTTGCATATCATCTGTGATTGTCCCAATCAAACTCTCTCTCAGATTCAGTAAAAGTAGCCAAGCTAAGAGGGCGTTGGAGGAAGAACCAAAAGCTGCAGGAGAAAGATCCGAAAAGCTGCAAGATTTTCCAATGCATCCACTATGTCCTTTCTGCAGACCAAGCAAGGCTGACTGAAGTTCATGCAGCAACATGTTAGACATGCAATTATTCTGAACTTCAATTCCAATTTTCTCGCTTACAATTGTGCAATCAGCCTGAACAGCAACCTCAGATTTTTTTCTTTGACATAGGTTGGTAACTTGGTTGTCAACTTCTGTCATCTTTTTGTCATTGTGATGTGCTTCATGAAACAAATGCAGCTTACTATCCTGATGAAATTCCGACTTTAGCAAATAGTTGGCTTCTTCTAGTATAGATGTATTAGAATGAATCAAAAAGTCAGTTTGTCTTTCATCTGAATCTTTGGCTGAGTCTTCTGAAATTCTCAATTTACCAATAGGCTTTAAAGGTTTTTTTGTTAGATTATCTTCAAGTAAATGTGTTTTCCCAGTTACATGCACATTATTTGTGATAAACCTAGCTTCTTTTTCTATAGAAGTATCACTATTTTCTTCAGGAAAAGAACAGGCATTGCTATTCTCTACAGTCCCTTCTTTTTTCTTTATAGGGGGTAAGACAGAATTTGAGAAAGAATTTTTCAGCCAAGTTTGGACATAGTTTTCACGTGAATGCTCAGCAACCTTCTCTTGAAAATTCTCCTGGTTTAGGGTCTCTAGTGTAATGACACTCTCTAACATATTTTTCTTATTTACTCCTTTACCTAGATTTTTCTTCATCATCTTTTGCTTTTTCTCTTTCTTTGATAGCAAATGTTCCAAATTATTCTTTTCCTTTTCTTTTTCAAAGGTAAGATATTTTGGCACTTCTGACAATGGCTTTGAAGTCACTGATGAGTCAGGTGTCTGCTTGAAAGAACTGGTCATAAGATGTGGGCCTTCTTTCTCAGTACTAAATGTACCCTGACTGTGTTCAGATTCGTTGTTCGAATCAGCTGTCTTTAGACCATCTTCACTTTTTGCAGATGAAATTATACTGCTTTTTTTGCCTGACTTCAATTTTACTTTGGCTAACTTATTGTTACTACTTCCTTTTTTTTTATTAGATGATGGTGATCCATTTTGCTCCACTGAATCCTGGTGATCAAAATCATCTTCAGGATTTATGGTTTTGTCTGAATTGGCAGATCCATCATTGTTTTTTACAAAATATTCAGATCCTTTTTTATGAGGCATTTCAGAATATTTATCCATAGCCTCTTTTGTGGTATCCTGTGAGATATGTGGTCCCTCACTGCTAGTTATCCCTGAAATTTCTTGATGCTTTTGATTTTCATATGTATCTTGGTCTAGAAAGCTTGATGATTTTCTTTTCTTCTTTTTCTTTTTGGTGAAGGATGATGCAGACTCATTGTTCTCAATGGGTGTTGTCCTCATAGATTCAGTCGTGGCACTGGTTTGATTCTCACTTTCAGTAACAGTAGGAAAGAATCCAGTTGTTTGATTTACTTTCTCAGAAGGACTCTTACTGCATGGAGGTGCCATCATTGTCATCTGGCTATGTCCAGCACAGGCTGAATGCACTGACTCTTGAGAAACACCTACTAAATCAGCAACTTGGCATTTTATTTCTTCTTTCGACTGACACAATTCTGAGTATGTAATGAAAGAACTCACTGATCTTTTTATTTGTTTAATATCACATGACTTATGGATGTGATCTGCTGTACCTGGCCTAGCTGTCTGGTAAGTTTTTGACGATGACATGAAACCACTGATGTCGGCTTTGGAGGTTGACACTAAACTACTGTATGTACCTTGTTCCACAACTGATTTCTCCAATATATTCTGTACCAATTCGTCCTCATTAGGCACGTCTAATGTCTTCCGGTTTGTGGTTTCTATTAGCTCACTACTTTTGTGGCTTACTTTAAAAAGCATTTCTTCCTTTACATTTTCTGAAGACAGCTTTAATAAGCCATTGTCACCCATCTCATTAAACTTTGGACTACTGACACTTGATTTTTTCCTGCTTGAATGAGCTACCATGCAGTACTCAGATGTTTTTTCTCCATTCTGTACTTCCTCACTGTAGGAAAACTGTCCTACTGTCTTCTCTTGAACCTCTTTATCAGATACCAAGGTGACACTTTCAACTACTGCTTTCTTCTGTCTAACACGCCTTGGCCCAGGGGTGGGAGGCCTATAAAAGCGAGGCTTGATATTTTCCTCGGGTACATTGCTTACATCTAAATCTGCAGAATTGCTCTTCTCAGAGACATTAAAATCAGCAGTTTTCAAATCAGATTCTGATTCTTTTTCTGACATTTCTTCATTGGATTGCTGTAATGAGTCTTCCTCTTCTTTATTGCAGCTCTTCAAAAATGGAGCATCTTTTGGATTTCTACAGTCTGATGTATTTACTTTGGATGAGCAGTCTCCCACATGCATTGCAGAAGAATTGCAGATGGAGACATTTTTGTCATCAGAAAGGCCAGCACGACTTACGGTGGTTGTCCACTTAATGGTTTCTTCCTCTTTAATTTTGAATCGAACTTTCATTTCCACTGTGATACTGCCATCTTGGTTAACGTGGACAGACTTCTCAATGTCATCTTGATACTGTGCCACAGATAATTCTTCACCAATAACTGACCTATTTCCTCCTATCCCATTATGGCTGTCAAGAACATAAGAAGAATCTGAGTTGTTATCATTTGAGTTGTTATCATTGCTGGATCCTTTATCAGAAGAAACTGAGAATATCTGAGATCTTGAACTAGAGTCCATTTCAGCTCTCACTACCCATAATTACATTGAAAGAATACAGATTCATTCAGTAGACAGAAAGTAGAGCAGGCAAGTACCACGGATAAGGATCCAGATGATGAGACAGTGAGTGGACAGGCAACAAAGGAAAAGAAGAAAGGAGAAAAATTAGTATTAAAGATGCTAATGAAGTGTCTTATTTTACATACTTTCTTTTTTATTTATTTTGCATTATAAAGTACAGAAAAAAACCCCATGGGTAATCTTGCTATTCATCTATGAAGTTTTCAGAGAAAGAAATATAAGAAAATCTTAATAAAGAATTAAGCATTTAAATACTTGTCTACTTATTTATTCTTTTACAATAAGTTCTTTCTAATGCCAGAACTACAGTCTTATTTGAAGCTCCAAACCTAAAAAAAAGTACTAGATGATCTCATTTTGTACTTAGTTGAGAGCTGAGGTTGCCTTGAGCTTTTGAAAGGATTCATAGGTACTCACTCGTTCAGGTTTTGAACGACCAGCTTTACTTCCTCCTCATGTTTTAGTGATCATTATATCACTTCCTACTAGTTCTTACAATTATCACTAAAATTTGTCATTAAAGATCAATATATATGTTCTTGGCCTAATTTAACAATCTACAGTTTATTCGTAACTACTCTTTGTAACGCCACTAACACGTGACAAAAGGGTTCATATCCAATCCTCTGACCTTCTGTAAAGAAGGAAACACTGAAGTTCTTGAACTCCTTGTAAAATCTGAACTTAAATCGCGATATTTTGGAACACATTTATGTATCTGTACTGTAGACAACATGCAAAACTCAGCAAAGCCTAAAAGAATACTTCTAGACTTCAATCATTTTTGAATGTGGCCCAAAATATGTTAGCATACACAGTATATGTTTTAATTACTCTGCAATAACTTGGGTCTTTTAAAAATTTTATCTCATTTCTCCCACATCATTGTCACTGAAGAGTTGAGAGCTAAAAGAACGTGAGATAAGAATAAAGTTTTTCTGTCTTCCAAGGTCTTCCGCACATGCAAGGGAAACTGTGCAGGTATGCCCACACAAAGGTATGAACAACTCCTACGATATTGAAATATATATATATATATATATATATATGATCCACCATTAAATATATAGGTTTGACTTGCAAAAAGCATTTTAACACATATAATATTAATTTATCTACATTTCTTGAATTTAAGTTTGTTTGTTTTCTTAAGTGTTTTCACATCAATACTTTTACAATAATATATTACCATTATAGAAACATGTCTATAACTTCAGGCAAAAGGCTTTGCAAGCTTCTTGAGCAGATGCTTTACCATGAACTGAAAAGGATACAATGGTTTGTACTAATTCTTCTAACATAGACCAGAACTTAGGCTTCACAAAGAAAAAATCTCACCTTCCCTGTCTCAGGAAATGGAATTGGAACAAAGATGCTGAAATTTCATTTTCCATGCTTTCATTTCATCAGTGATACCTCCTACACCCGATATTTTTTAAATTCTCAGGTTAAAGACAAAAAGAGGGTTGTTTCTTCCTCCCTCCTTCTGTGATTGCTGTTGACTAAGAATTAGAAGCAGGAGATAATCATATTCAATAACTCAGGTTTTCTACAATTGCAAGGCTCTGTCTCAAAGGAGAATCTAGGTAGGATTTTTGTTTCTGCACATCTTTCATTCTCAAAATGTTCTTATTCATTCTGTCTTGACTCATTAGTTATGCTCTGCAAACAGGTCTCAAGCTGTGCAAGTCAAAGTACGTGAAGGCTGAAAAAAACTTAAATTAATAGCCTGGTGGGAGATAATAAACTGCAAGGAATGTGAATGGAACTCCCTCAAGCAAATGGAAATCAAATGTCATATATTAACGTGCTCCATGACACTGTCAGAGTTACTGTGGAAAGTCCCAGTACGGTAACAATTACCGTGTTCCCTGGGCTCTCCAGTACAGCATGAAGCTGTAGCAAGAGTAGACAGTACTCTGGATTAAGGAAGTTCCTGCAGACAGCACCTCAGCCCTACAGGATGCTCTAATGTCAGGAACTCCCACAGGACTTAAAGATGCGGTACTGCAGGATTTCGTTTCCCTTAGGCTATTCATCTAGCCTGACTTCTCTCCAAGAGCTACTCATTTTCCTGCTCATCCACTGGTCACACTCTTCCTGATCTTATCAGTGGAGCAACTCGGTAAGTAACCAAAGAGAAAGTACATATTTGTGTATCTTTTCCCAAACTTATTAAAAAGTATATATAGCAGCCATGAGGATATAGGAATGGACAACACTCTGTTTAGGCAAAAGCAGCTTCAAAGACATGATGAACTTGTGAGTGGATGGATGCTATACTAGTTTTCCTATTTGTGCAACAAGAGAAGAAGAGTAAGTCATGACAAGCCAAACCTCCACTTGTTAAGTTCTGAAAACTGAACAGAAGTTTTGCCCAAGAAATTCAATGAGACCCTGAAGTAGCCTGAGGTTTTACTTTTACCACTGTTGTTATTAATTCTGACACCAAAAAATTAATAACAATGGCAATCAAGTGAATTAAAGTGAAATATACTCATACATTTTCATCCATGTTCTAAGTCTATCAGAAACAAAATATGCATAGTAGCTGAGTACTTAGCAGAAACTTGCATTTTAAAAAGAAAATTAACACTTTGATCTTTCATAAGCTATAGAGGAGTCACAGCAGATATAAAGAGTTTCAACTGGCCTTTCTGAATATCCTTGATCCTAGTAAGATTGTCACTGTTTGTGTCTTATGCTGAGAGAGATAAACAAATTATTAAAATACAAATTAATTCAAAGAACTTACTCTTTTCACTTTCTGGCTTGGCATTTGCTTTTGGGTACACACGATTTCCAATTCCAAGCAATTTAGCAGGTCGCAAATACCCAAGGGATTCATAATTGCTTGGTTTAAAAGGCTCTCTCCCCGCTGCGACTACAGCTCCAGAGCACAATATCAGGGCCTGAAGATTAGGAACCTGGAAAAAGAAGTAACATTAAATTCTCTGCATTAGTAACCACCAAAAAATAATGTAAGAGGTTCATCTCTTTCAAGCTTTAATATCTTCACTGCTTAGTCTCCACATTCATTTGCAGTAGACTATTAAATATGTATCACAGCATGGAATTAATTTTTCAATTCCTATAAGGCAATTCCTATTTCTGTGAAGATGTGTCTAGTTATACGAATATAGCAGATAATTACCTCAAGAAGTAACTTGATCAAAATTTTCTTAAACATATCAAAATTTTCTTAAAATTTAAGTGTTTAGACATGTAATTTTTTTTCATTGTTGCACAGTGACTGCTCATAGTCATGAAATATGAATATGCATTTAGAGGTAGGCATATGTATGAAGACATGGAGGAAAATTTCAGAATGCAGCACAAGCAGTTGATTAATACTTTCACAAAGGAACAGGAGACCACCATAGAGCATCATACTTTGGAAAAAACCTCTGGAGGTCATGTAGTCTAACCCTCTACACAAAGCAGATCTGACTGGATCAAAATGCTCAGAGCCTTGTCTGACAGTTTTAAATGTAGGTTCCAAAATATATTGCAAATTAAGGCTTACAAACTGTACTTCATTAACTTGTAGGTAATATGGATGGTTTCCCAACCTAATATACAATTTCAACATGTGAAGGGCAAGCAGGAGATTTCTTTTGAACTCTTAGAGTTCTGCACAGATTTCTCTTTCTAGATGCCTGCTAAGTGCAGCCATAAGTGCTTTTCTGTGGTTAAACAACAGACAGAAAAAACACTGAGATGAAATTATACAGACAGCATGTGAGACTAAAATCTGAATTATTAGTGCTGCACCATCTGAGTTTAGAGGTACAGAACCTGGTCTATGGTTTGCAACTATGATAGGCAATCAGGTGTCAGAGTTCCAAGTCATTGATGGCAAAGCACTCTGCATTTGTACAATGATAAAAATACATGTGGACATTAGATACTACTTACCGTGTTCTAAAACATTAAAAATCCCAGATAAATATCATTAAGACTAAAGGAAGATCTTGTGTAAGTGGATAAAAGTACAGAATTGGCAGCATGGCTTAAAGAGACCTGAGTAAGAGGAAAAAAAAAGTGTTTTTTCCTTTTTTGCTTAAAATGAAATGTGTCCTCACTAACTTCTTTTTGTTCACAAGATTCCAGTATATTTCTTCCAAGCCAGTAGCCCTTCAGAAGGGGAAATAAGCATAGAAAGTAAAGAGATTACATTTAGCACATCAGATCATACATCAGGACCATTTTTCAAACATGAATACAACTTTTTTTTTTTTAAATAATCTAGAAGAAATCACAAAATAATGTCAGTACTCATCCTTTTTCTCACCTTTCTGCCATCAGTGGTATAGAGCTTTGCAACTGGATATTGCATTAACTCACTCATATGGTCCAGAAAGGCCTCAAATGTTTGTGTATTTTTCTTTCCCAAAACTACGGTGCGCCTAAGTCTTACATCCCCGTTTTTGAAAACAAGCATCTTTTTGGGAGTTGTTATTCTGCTTTCTCGATGGCCAAACCCATCTTCATTCTGCCTTGCTAATTGCACAGCTCGCCGACGAGCACTGACAGGCCTGCTGATCTGCCAGGGCAGTGGCTTTTTGCTGGCCTGTTCCAGGTTGATGGGCTTCATTTTCCTCTGATGGGAACAAATATAGGACTTTCCATCTTCCAGATCCTCCAAATTGGTGATGCTGTGTCTCCCCCTTGGTGTACTAATATTCCTTACTCCAAAAGGTAACGGGACCCGTTTGGACAAACTATCCAGCAAGGCATCAAACGTCTTGTAAGACCTGCTATTAACAACCATTTTGATCCCATTAAACTGGGGATCTCCACTTTTATAGAAACAAATCCGTTTTGCCACAACAGGTTCGGTAATGTTGAAATGGCGCGCGGATAAACTCTGCTCGCTCTCGGAGGAGTTTGCATGATTCGCTGAGTAACTGCTGGAAGGTGTTTCACTCATTTTGGCAGCAATCTGGAAGAAAGAGGAGATGGGTGTAAAACTTTCTCTGTGACTGGTAAAAATATGATCTACATTTTGAAAGGTGCAGGAAGAGGATTTATGAGAAACCCACAGCAGCGTGTTGTGCCAAAAATCATTGGATTTAAATGGATTCAAGCTGTTATCACTAAATTCCACAAAGACTCCAATACTGTCAGATTAAGTTAGCATAGCTCTACTTGCAAGTATTCCCAAAACTCTCCTACGTAATTTCAATTCTCTTATCATTTTGGTGCAAGAGACCTTTTCTTAGAAGGAGGTGGTTTGCCAGTCCATCCTTTCTTGAGCATGAAGCTGATGATATTTCACATTTAAGATATTTAAGAAAAATCCTTTCTAGGAGGGAGCAATTTCTGCTATAGTACATGCCTTTTTAGTCCAAAATAGCTAAACTGAAAGACAATGCAATTCAGTCTAATCTTATATACTAGTTTCATACCAAGGCAAAACCATGGAAGTCAAAGAAGTCTCCTGATTTATGGAACTGTAATCTATACAATAATAAGGCCCAAAACATATGTTAGAGTGAAATTTTATCATAAACTGACATATTATTTGCTTTTCTATTACAAGTTTTATGTCTCACAATACATATCTACTGCAACAGTCATATACTAAGACAAAAATCTACTGATAAAATAAGGCATTTTTAGTGAAAAAAAAGCCTTTAAGTCCCTCAAAAATATAAAAAACATTCAGGTATTCTTCAGGAGAAGTAGACTTGAAATTAAAACATTTAAATACTGGTCTTATAAATAACAAATTATTTCTGACAACCATATTGATAGTCTTCATGCTGGTAAATAGAGCACCAATCTTTCCATTTTAATCCAATCTAAATATAGATGCTGTAATGACAACCCTTTCAGTGACTAAAATAACTATTTTAATGATTGTCTTGCTTTCACTGAAACACAGGGTAAAATTTTTCAACAAATTTGACTCAAGGAAACAGTTTTAGTAGACTTTTACTGAAAAGCTACATTGCAGCCTTGGGGAACACTTGTCATCAAAATAAAATAAATTAAATACTTTGATGATATTACCTTAATATAACTGCCATATTGAGTAATGAAGCAATCTCCAGCTACCATGTATTTTTTAATGAAGCTATAGAAAAAAGTATTTTGATTCTTTTAATCCTTCCTATATCCATTCTGAAATTGATAAAAAGCTGTTATGTTTCAGGACGATGAAGGTTCAAATAAAGTCAGATTTTTAAAGATTTTGTCTTACTGTGTTCTTACATCTTTTCCAATAATGCTTCAGGTGAAGTGCAATAATGCACTGCTTTAACTCATGTGTTTTGCCTTCACTAGGAGTTAATTATTTTGAACACTGATCAGAACACAGGAAGAAATGTCTCCTTATAAGATAATTTATGCTGCAAAATATAATTCTCTAAGTGCTAAAACTGAAAAATAGCCCAACAGGACTGCACTAGAATGGTGTACTCTAAGATTGATTTGCATAATCACAATTCCATTTAAAATAAATAAATAATTTTTAAAAGCCTAAAACATGAAAAATAAAAAAACCCATTTAATTAAGGAATGTCCAAGAAGAAGTTTTCAAGGTTGGCTGCAGCAACTTATACAACCCAGCTACTGAAATGACTTACTCTCTGTAGGAGGGAGGAGCTCCACTTCAGCTGAAACCACTGAGAGCCAAAGCTGTTCTTCGTTTTTGGCAGATCTACTCATTAGCTGAGTAAATTTTCACTATACTTCTATACTGAGAGGTTGATTGGTGAGTTTAGACTAGGGACACAATTTGAACCAGACATTTTATGTTTTAAATTTTATACTGCATGCTTCATTCTGCTTAGCTGGATGTTCCTAGTGGAAATCCATAAGGACATATTTGTTGCTAGCTGCAACACAAATTTCCTACTCTCTTAGCAGAGCAAATGTTCTACTGGAGTAAAAGCAGCAATGACAGAAGCTCTTGAGTGAACTGAATGTCATGTTTCTCCATTTCAGCTGGCCAAGGGTGGAGTTTGAGAGACCAGTCCAGGACCTCTGGGGGAAAAACTCTGTTGTCAACAATGGCCAAAGAGAGGAAAGAACAGCTCCTCAGATACTCTCTACTGTACTTCTAACACTTCGTGAAAATAGAGTGGAAATTAATCTACCTGTGTGATTCGATTATTCACTCTTACAAGAGATAAAATGGGTGGATTTTCTCATTAGACCACTGACATTAATCACTTTAGAAGCAGAGTCTCAGAAGCTGTTCTAGAAATTTGTGCTTGCGCAAAACAGTCAGTTACATAAGCATCAACATTTGAAAGAGAAATGCAACAGATTTTACATAAAGCTAATTATTATACTTAGTCTGGGCACTGTGGAAGTACTAAAATCCAAGACAAAGAGGGAATATACATATCAATAAAGAAAAAAGACAATTTCAGTGTAAACATGAAATAATTTAAATGTGCAAAACTAACTAAGAAAAATAAGTTTTCCTTAGGAAAATGGATGATAGCTCTTTATTTGGCATACCACATTTCTAGCATTAATTTTAACAGAAAAAATTTCTTCTGCTTTTAGATACCTTTTACAAATAGAAAACATTTCAACAATGAATGATCAACTTATCGTGGAAGTTATTTTTTCATACTACAGGCTACCCCAAAATACCTTAATTTCATCATAAATATACTATCAATTTCATATTTAAATAATACTATTCTAAAATTGAGAAATAGCTGATATTACATGGAATAGGACATCTAGTAAAATACTTTGGCAACTAAAATATTGAGAAATTCAGCAATAAAATCAAACAGAAATCAGAATTTAATCCTTTCCCAGTGTTCTATAAACAAACCACCACAACACTTATGCACAAAGGTAAATTCTATAGAGACACTAAGTGGAACACTTTGTTCTAAATACATAAGAATACCTTCGATGTCACAGAGCTGGTAAGCATTGCATATAATTTTATCATACTCACCCACGGTCCTGTGTAAATAAAAAAGAGTAAAGCTTGTTTTCAGAGATTTATAAATTACACCACATCTATGTTGCATGAAACAACATCCTTAGGCTTATTCCAAGTATGCTCAGCCAGGAAAAACATCATAATCCACTTGCTTAATCTCAGCTAATGTGAATCACCAGACCAGGTTCACCACAGGCAGCTACTGCTCAGAGCAGAATGTCTAACATCTCATCCAGCAAGTCCTCTCATATGATGTTAAAACAAAATTTACCTATTTAATATTTTGTTTGTATAATTTTCTCTTTACTTAAATTGCTCAAGATAGTCACATAAACTCATAAAATAAAAATGTGGGTGGGGAACATTAGTTATCTAATCTATCTTCTTGTCAGAGTAGGTTTATCATCCAAACTAAATTCTTTAGTGATAAAATTTTTTAATATGTTAAAAATGGAGTTTCTATCACTCATCATCTGAGACTATCCATTAACTATCTCTAATTATTATCTACCCCTAATTCTTGCCTTTGTTCATTCACTTCCTCAAGTTGATTCTCTTTGTGCTAAAGGTTCTCCCATATTTTTCTCTATTCAGATAACACAGTGAAAATAGTTCCACAGTTTCTCTAACACTAGTCACTGAAATATGACAGTCTAAAGGAGTTTTGTAGTCCATGAGGCATTTTCATTTCTACATGCTGGAAAAAAGGCCATGACTATTAATATGTGTGAAGATAGTTCAGGAAGAGATAGGAGGATTATGTTTAACTGTATTCTAGTTATGCTATGGAATGTGGATTTTTTTTTCTTTTTCCAGTGGTAATACTATGTTCCCAGGTGGTGACTGTTCCATCTAATTGTCGCCAGATGTATAATCAGATTTGGAGCTTCTTTGCTTAATCAGGATTACACCAAGCTCTCAAAACTAGCTGTGTAGAACAGTAACAAAAACACTGCTCAGTAAACACTACCATTACATGCTGGTTTTAACCAGTCTCCTTAGTAGAGAATTCAACACTTTTGGTGGTTGTAAAATACCACTTCAGTTCGACTTTCATGAGATACATAGGTACAAAGATTAAATTATAATGTTGCGCAGATATTTTGCTATAAATATTGCTTTTTAAAATAATATATTAGTATAATCATTTTGGTCCTTAATCTATTTTAGCTAATGTACTTTTATTCTAGTCTGTATTACATTGTTTACACTTGTTCAGAAGATGGACAAGTGCAAATTCTATTCTGATGTCTTAAAACTAAACTGTTTATAACAGGAATTTCTATTGGGTTGGATATCCCTACAGTGTTGGATTTAAAACCTCATTGCTACCCTCATTAACTTTCCAGGGCATGCAAAGTCACTTTAAATAAACAGCTAATCCATCAGTGACTTTCATGTATCACTAGGACTGGGGACTCAAGAGATCATACTGCTGGGACCTGCTGAAGATGACAATCAAGTGTCACCATTCTACAGTGTGAATGCCTCTTATTTCTCTAAGACTTCAAAAGGCTTGCAAAGCTTCTATCCAGACATATATAGCTTAAAGGCCCACTGCATTCACTCTTGTACTACAAACACTTCACATATTCTGAAAAGATATAAGAAATCATCAACTTTACAGTAAAAATAGCATCAATAGAACAATGCTTTACTTAGGCTTAAAGCTAACAAGCTACAAAAAAAAATTATCACTGTCCTAAAGCAATCAATATTGACACAGAAACACCTTTCATCCACTCATTTGGGTGGCTTGGCTGACATCCATGGAATTATTAAAATTTTTCAATAAGAATTTAGCTTTAATATCTGGAGAACAGTTGTTCTTTATATATAAATCTTTCAGAAAGAAAAATTGGGGAATACAAAATCGGCCAAGAAAATTGAAGCACACAAAATCAGGCCACATGAGAAAACATACAATTAAAATTGTAATGCCAAGCACACTTACAATTTTTCTGAGTTGGTGTCATTCTCACTTTTAAGCTACAAACCTGTTTATCCCCAAAACATCTTTAGTG